AACAAGAGAAATCTCAGTTTGAATTACCAATAGTTGCTTACTGACCAAAAGTTGAGAGCCACTGGGGCTGGCAGTCATACTCCAAATAGGTCCTCCAAAGGCATCCAAGGCATACTTGACATTTAATGCCTGTAAGTCATACTCAAGGATTTCCCCATTGAGTCCAGCACTAAAGAGTCGCTGTCCTTCTGCCCAACACAGAGCTTCTGTAGCTCGAGACTCATGACCTGGGAAAAACTACACAAACACCAGAACTTAACCTGTGATAAATGCATCAGTCATCAGCATTGATTGAGTATAGGCAACATGGTGAAAATTGCTTCTTTACAAATAAATAGCATGGGATTTGTTCTATCAGAAGATCACATCTATTAGGCATTTTGACTTTTTTTCAGGTTCAAATGTAGTTACTTAAAATTACTCTGTATAACGTTCATTCTTCTTCTTTTTTTCAATATTTATTTTTTAGTTTCCGGCGGACAGAACATCTTTGTTTGTATGTGGTGCTGAGGATGGAACCCGGGCCACACGCATGCCAGGCGAGCGTGCTAATGCTTGAGCCACATCCCCAGCCCTTTCTTCTTTTTAAATTAGAACTAGTTCAATAAAACTCTTTTGCCAGGCATGGCAGTGCACACCTATAATCTCAGCAGCTCAGGAAGCTGAGGCAGGCTGGTCATTGAATTCAAAGCCAGCCTCAGCGACTTAGGGAGTAACTCAGTGAGACTCTGTCTCTAGATAAAATATGAAAAGGAGCTAGGGATGCAGCTCAATAGTTAAGCTACCTGGGATTCAGAATAAAATATATTCAAGTTTGGTTTGAGGTATCCAATTGTACTCAATGTATCTAATTTCCTAAAAAGAATGCAACTATCTTGATTGGGTGATGGTCTTACTGTAATGTGCATGCATATGAACAGTTTTCCTGTTTTGGATTTTTGGTTCTCTGAATTATTCTTCAATAGGCAGTTACAACTATGCTACACAATATATATCTCAGTTTCTTTCTTTAAAAAAAAATTTTTTTTAGTTGTAAGTGAACACAATACCTTTATTTTTATGTGGTGCTAAGGATCGAACCCAGTACCTCACACATGCCAGGGAAGTGCTCTACCACTGAGCCACAACCCCAGCCCAGATATCTCAGTTTTTTTATTTTTTAATTTTTTGTTTTAAGTGGACATAATATCTTCATTTTATTTTTATGTGGTACTGAGGATTGAACCCAGTGCCTCATACATGCAAGGCGAGCACTCTACCACTGAGCTACAACCCTAGCCCAAAGAAATGTTTAAAAAAAATTTTTTTAAATGTATAGAATAAGGATACAAAGAAACACTGTACAGTTGTACAGTGTATTTTGTCTGGAATGTTTATAAAACAAAAAAGTTACATTAAGTGCTAAGGCTGTAGCTCAGAGGTAAAGTGCTCTCCTCAGATGTATGAGGTACTGGGCTCAATCTTCAGCACCACATAAAATATATAAAGATACCGTGTGTTCATATACAACTAAATAAATGTTAAAAAAAAAAGTTACATTAAGCTTAAATTGGGGGAAGGGGGGTATTAGGGATTGAACCCAGCAGTGTCTAACCACTGAGCCACATCTCTAGTCCTTTGTACTTTTTATTTTAAGATGGGGTCTTGGGGTTGGGGTTGTGGCTCAGCGGTAGCGCACTTGCCTAGCATGCGTGAGGCACTGGGTTCAATTCTCAGCACCACATACAAATAAGTGAAAATAAAAGTCCATTAACAATTTAAAAAAAAAAAAAAAAAAAATATATATATATATATATATATATATATACATATATAAAGATGGGGTCTGGGGTCTTGCTAAGTTCTTAGGGCCCATGTTAGGGAAGCTGACCTCAAATTTGCAATTCTCCTGCTTCAGCCTCCTGAGTCAATAGGATCATCAATAGGATCACAGACATTTGCCACCACACCCAGCTAATTTTTTTTTTTTTTTTTGGTGGTGGTGCTGGGGATTGAACCCAGGGCCTCGTGAATGTGAGGCAAGCTCTCTACCAACTGAGTTATATCCCCAGCTCCTAAGCTTAATTTTTTTTTTTTTTAAGAGAGAGAGAATTTTTTAATATTTTTTTTTTTCAGTTTTCGGCAGACACAACATCTTTGTTTGTATGCGGTGCTGAGGATCAAACCGGGGCCATGTGCATGCCATTTTACTGAATGAATTTCTTTTTAAATATTTGTTTTTCAGGGACTGGGGATGTGGCTCAAGCGGTAGCGCACTCGTCTGGCATGTGCAGGGCACTGGGTTTGATCCTCAGCACCACATAAAAATAAAAAAAGGTATTGTGTCCACCTACAACTAAAAAACAAATATTTTTTTTAATATTTATTTTTTAGTTTTCAGTGGACACAACATCTTTATTTTATTTTATTTTTTTATTTTTTATTTTATTTATTTATGTGGTGCTGAGGATCTAACCCAGTGCCTCACGTGTGCTAGGTGAGCGCTCTACCACTGAGCCACAACCCCAGCTCTAAATGAATTTTTAAAAAGAAATTGAGTGTCATTTACTAAATGATAGGACAAGTCATGAACATTACTAACATGGTTCCTATTCTTACAAAATGTGAAGTTTAGCAGGGAAGGACACCAAACAAATACACAAATCATATAATTACACTTGTTATATATGACAAATGGAAAAAATCAAGGATGCAACAAATGTGCACAGAGCACATTTTCACACAGTAGAAAGTAACCTATCTGTGGTTGGCAAAGAGAGGCGATTTTTATACTTCTATTAGTTCCCCAGGGGTTTCCTAACCCACCTCCCAGAGTAAGGTACTTTTCCACTAAGGTTTTAGTTATTATAATAAGATTATGTTTCAACTTATTTTATTAATCAGAAATTGTCTATATACTGATCTTTCTCCCACTTTTCTCTGAGCTTTGGGAAAGAAGGGTTTCTGATGTATGTCTTAATGCTCAGTACTTGCCACTCATTCATTTAGAAACATTTACAGATGTCTAAATTCCAGGAAAGAGGCTGCTGGACACTGAATCCACTCATTTACCCATCTGTTCTCTTGTGAATTGAATCAGATGTTGCATCTGAAGAAAATCAGTAGTTGGTATCCTTAAAAAAAAATAGTGCTGCCTAACAGATCTCAGTATATATCCAAAGGATGTTTTATCTAATTAAATATTCTTTACTTCCGAATATAGTATAGCATTTAAATCCACATTCTCTCAGACAGCTAAACTTAGAAACTTCCTATCATCAAAGAGTTTTTGAGGGCTGGGGTTGTGGCTCACTAGTAGAGCACTTGCCTAGCACATGCAAGGCCCTGGGTTTGATCCTCAGCACCACACAAAAATAAATAGATGAAATAAAGATATTGTGTCCAACAATATATATATATATATATATATATATATGTTTTTTATTTAAATGTTTTGTTTCTTCTAAATTGACAATGAAACAGGTACTGACACCACCAGCAGGAAATATTTTCTTATCAAGTTACAATGGTCCACACAATTTCCCTTCTTGTTGTGGCCAAAAGATCCAATAAAGCTGTGTCCAAAGGATAAGCAGTGATATGCCAATAATCTAGGTAGGATTTATTTTTTAAAATATTTTTTAGTTATAGGTGGACACAATATCTTTATTTTTTATTTTTATGTGGTGCTGAGGATTGAACCCAGTGCCTCGCACATGCTAGGCAATGGCTCTACCTCTGAGCCACAACCCCAGCCCTAGTTAGAATCTTTCTAATCAACATCACACAGGTCAAAACTCTGAGCTTCTCTATCAGACAATAAATATCATGATTATTATAGAAATTCTGAAGTTCTAAACAACTACCACAAGGCGTAGGAAATAATTTGATTTCTTTAAATATAAGACAAGTTGTAGAATTGAACTTAAGAAAATTAACATCAGAAACACCAAATCAGGCTCCCAAATGACTTACTTTCTCTTGAAAGTAGTTTGCTGACAAGTTATAAATTTCCACAGTGCCATCTGTTCGTGAAACAGCCAATCTGTTTGACTGGTTATTGTAAGCCACACAACGGATCCCTGGTGGTACGTAATTAAAGAAACGTACTCGATGGACCTTAAATTCACCCATTCCTAGGGAGGGGAAAAAGAGTATATTGTTTAACATTAAGTGTCACATGTATTCAGTTTCGTATTGTTACTGTTTTGATGAAAGGCTCCAACTAAATCTCACTGAAATTCATTCCTAAATACCTAATGATGCTTTCTCGCCCCATGCAAGAATCTTATCAATCTCCAGAAAGCTCAGTATAGTTCGAATAAGGATTTTGGCAAACTCCAAAGGGCCCTGCTCACAGTTCCAGAATTCCAACTTCTTAGGGTGGAGAGAGGGATGTTTAAAAATCTGAATTTTAGTAAGCCCCTCTCCCCAATTCTACTGAATGCTGAGTTGGCAAATCACAGACCCAACTAAGGTAGTGACGTGGGGCTGATAGCTAAGGGGAAACCCAGAGCTCTTTACCGGGAGGAAGCGACAGAACTCGGTGATTTACTCTGGCTGTCTGGTCTAGTACCTAGCCGTCAACTACAGGACCAGGGCAGGGACCGGATCAGGTCCGCCCCTCTCTCATCCACCTTCAAGGTTAGAAACCCAAAAGTAGAGCACGGAGCATTCGGCCTTCACTGGACGCGCCAAGAGAGTCAGTCTGAAGAGCGCGCGAGGTCTTCGCCACCCCTTCCCTTTCCTCCCGGGGTCTACGAAGTAGTCACCACTCGCCTCTGGACAAAGGAATTGGCTAGCTCTGCGGGGCGTCGGCCCCCAGCGGGCAGCACCCCTCGGGACTCGGTTCTCACACCTTCTTCCCACGCCCCTTCCCCAACTCACCGCGGCCGGACGACCGCCTGCCCCAGAGCTCGCCTCTCTCCGCCCCAGCCCCACGTGCGCGCGCGCTCAAGCTCTGCCCCGGAAATGCTCCCGGCTCGAGGCCGGAAGTGCGCAGGCAGTGCTCGCGGCGGCGGCGACGGCGGCGGGAGGTTCGGTTGTCGCCCGTTGGCCGCGCGGCGCCGCGCTCGGCGGCCGCCATTGCAGGTCAGGCCGCGGGCGGGGGGCGCGGGAGGCTGTGGGGAGTGAAGCCCGAGTCGGAGACGGGGGCGAGGGCGCGAGGGAGCGGAAAGCTAGGGAGCCGGGGCCGGGCGGGGCGCGCGACTCCGGGAGAAGAATGGCGAGCCGAGGGGCGGGGAGCGGCAGGGCGGGGGAGGGGCGGCAGGACAAGGGGAGGGAAGCGGGGAGGCAGCACAGGGGTGGGGGTGAACCCACCCGGGCCCGGGGGCGGGAGGGCCGAGAGATGTGGGGGCAGGGAGCAGTGGGGAGACGGAAGGCGGAGGGAGGGAAGGAAGGAAGGGAACTAGCGGGGCGGAGCGGGAGAAGAGCGGAAAGGGTGGCCTAGCGCGGGCGGAGGACGGAGAAGGGGGCGGCGCGGGCCTGGACCTCGAGGTATGTGCGGGAAGGGGCTCTTCCCCGGGTCGGGAGGGAGCCTAGATCGCGAGGCTTGCTGGAGCGGAATGGAACCTGAACCCAGAAAGTAGCGGGAATAGCGACTTTGCGGGGCGGGGGGTGGGTGCTAGAATTGTGAGGTTTGTTCTAAGGGACATTTTAAATCATGTGGGTTGGAGAGGCTGTTGGAAGAGATGAAGATTGGAGGGTGATTGGAGAGCAATTCTAGGTTCTTTTGTGGGTGGAGTGAAGCCGAGAGATGAGTGGGGTGGGGTCCTGGAGAAGCTTAGAATTTCATGAACATTTTGGATAATGAGGGTGGTAGAGGAAGGTCGTTTAAAAAGGAATCTTTGGGTAGAGGGTGAATGATAAGGAAGACCACTCCAATGGGGTGTGTAGAGGAAGACAGTTTAAGGAACTGGAAGGGAAGAATAGTTTCAGTGGCTGGAAAGTGAAGGGGTTAAACATGTTGGCAGATCTGTAAAAGTCTGGGGTAGTTGGGAGCGGGTTGCAGAAGGAGGGGGAGAGCGGATTGAGGAGTTCCAGAAAGTGGACAAGTGGACGGGACTAGAAATAGGGAAATGTTCGTAGCTCTAGTTGAAAGAGTGGAAGGGGGCCAAGGGTGGCAAAGGTGGGGGGAAATGGGAGGAGAATCCATCAGGAGGAAAACCCTATGATGGGCTAGAAAGTAAGGGGGTTGGGGAGAGATAGGGTATTGTGGCAATAAGAGGAGGAAAGGTTGACATGGGGCTGCAGAGTAGCAGAAGATGGAGAAAACTGGAGTAACTCAAATCGCCTGAAGCCATCTTTTTCACCCATTGTCTACAAATACCAGTAATTGATTCCCTCCAACAAGGGAATCCTAAAATGTGATGGCAAAGTACCACGTGTATGCATAGTATGTGCACATGTTTTTGAACACACTCTTCACTAATGAAAAGTTTGGAAGCATTCAGTTCCACCTATCCTCCATAGTCCCTTTTTGGAAGGGAACAAGCATCTCATTTAAAAACAGGATTTTAGACTTAGTAACATAATAAGCCTGTCAAGAGACAATATCCCCTTGGAAACTAAGACCAGTCCCTTCAGTCACAAAACCACAATAACACTGCTAATAAAGGTAATCTATATTCAGTTGTATGTAAAAACTTTTTCAGTTGTTCATTTGGTGCAAAGGCACATAGAAAAAATAATCATGGTATTCAAAGAAATTACTTTCCAAAAAAATTACTTTCTAAAGCAGTCTGAACCTGGCTGCAGTGTGTGAGTTGTTCTTATAATGTAAATTCAATCTTATTCTGATAACCTGCTTTTATAGGATGTTTGTAAACATCCTATAAAACATTGTAAACATTAAAACATAATTGCATATTGTAGTGTGAGGACATACTATTAGACATACCAAGAAAATGCCAAGTTCATTCTGGTAATCAATAGCTTGACCCTAAAGACTTACTTTTTGTGTTGGGCATTGTGCTGAAAGATGTACATCCATTATTTTATTCTTACAACATACTTTAGAGATAGATGGTTTTATGCCCAATCTATTGGTAGAGAAATTTACAAGGTTAAATTATCCATTGTCTTAGGATAGGTGGCATAGCATTCAGGTTAATCTGACAAGTGTATTGTATCCCTAAACAAAACGTAGACCCTGGGACCAGACAAAAGCTCAATAAGTGCGCTTGGCTTGGCAATTTGCAGATGCATTTTGTGTCACATATTCAAAATTGGTAGAGCACATGCTTACCAGGCTCAAGGTCCTGGGTTCAGTCCTACACACCAAAAAAATAAACATAAAATGATTGGAAATGTTCTAATGAGAACCTATAAAATGTTTGGCCCTGGGAAAATTTATTTGTATTTAGGTCAAATCATTGGGTCAGAGCCCTTTATTTTTCTACTAATTGTATGTTTAATTAGATACACACTTCTGCCAAATTTTATTTTGGAAGCAATTACCATTATGAGGATCTTTGATCAGGTTTTTTCTCAGAAGTCAGATGTTAGCAATCTTTTAACAAATACTTAAATTATTCAGAGAGCAAAGGATAAGATGATTGAGATTTGTCAAAAGTTAAATGAATCAATGGCATAGAAGGTCCTTCTACCATCTTTTTCCTCACACTAATGAGCAGAGGTTTAGGACAAAGTTTTGAATTCTGAAAGTGGCATTAAATCAATTTCTCTACATATTGGATAAGATAAAGCAAGCTTGTTTTTTGGTTTTTTTTAGGTACCAGGGATTGAACTCAGAGGCACTTGACCACTGAGTCACATCCCCAGCCCTATTTTGTATTTAGAGAGGGTCTCATTAAGTTGCTTAGTGCCTCACTTTTGCTGAGGCTAGCTTTGAACTGGGTGGTCTTCCTGCCTCAGCCTTCAGAGCTGCTGGGATTACAGACTTTTGCTATCTTGCCTGGCTAAGCTTGTTTTTAACTGCCTATCCTATAGGTGTTTTAGCTACTTCTGTGGCAGGTTATAAAGTTACTTATTTGCTATTTTGTAAGAGATGCTGTGAAAATGAGGCTAATAATTTTAAAGCAACCAGATCTTCTATAGAAGTAGCACATGAAAGGGTGAATAGAGGAGTTAGAGGCCACATTCTAACTCTGCCACTTATGGGTGTGTGACCATTTGCCTGAACTTCAGCTTTTTAAACCTGTTTCCTCATCTGTAAAAGGGAGTGACAAGACCATTCCTATCCCATAGAGTTGTTGTCAGGATAAAATGAGAGAATTCATTAAGTGTTCAGAAAAATTGCTGTGTGTGAAATGAGTTTAGTTTTGTCTTTTGTGTATGTATGTGTGTGTGTGTATAGTAAATAGACACAGTGCCTTTTATTTATTTATTTTTGTGTGGTGCTGAGTATCGAACCCAGTGCCTCACTCGTGCTAGGTAAGCGCTGGACCACTGAGCTCCAGTGCCAGCCCTGTCTTTTGTATTTTTAATACTCTGCGTGGACTGCTCAATAAGCCCTATGGTAGTGTTTTGACTTATCAGATTTTTTGATAATAGTTACTTCCCAATAGAGTTAGAAAGAAGCCAAGTACAAATAAGACATTCCCAAATTGGTCTGATTCAAGTGGGTTTTGGTTAGGGTTCGCATTGTGAGTCTGGATTGGTTCTTTGAATGCTGTTTCCTTTGTTGCTCTGATTTGTTCAGGGACAGAGAAGCTTTACTTCCACACTAATTTAAGAACTGGGGATGATGTAGGGGAAATTTAGTTAATTTACATTTCTAGAAGCCCAAAAAAGGGGACTCTTTTTTTTTTTTTCTTAAACTGGGGAATTAAAATGTATGAAGTATTTTTTTTTTAGAGAGATAGTCATCTGGCTAACTTTAAGAATGTAGAATAAAATTTTTAGTATTGAAGAATATTAAAAATTTTGAACATAACCTAGTTCATATGTATTTGCTATAGTGTAGTTTGATTTATTAGCCTAGAAAAATTAAGTAGAAAACTCTTTTACGTCTTATGATATTGGGAGTAAGTGGACATAATTTATTGCAGGGGAAAGAGTTTAATTTTCTCTATACCTTCCCATCTCTCCAGGACTGGACTCTAGTTATGGCTTATGAGACTGATAACCACTGAAATCTGATGAGTTTGAATGATCTTTTTGAAAAGCTACATTACAGTTACTTAATCAAACTACTCTACAGTTAGTTAATCAAACTAGAATTATTGTTTGTAACCAAAGACATATTGGTTGTAGTCAAATCTGGGATTGAACTGTCCTCTGAAGAGACTTGCTGGGGAAGCTCTCCCACTAACTCTTAGTTTTGCAATTGGATACATAGTCTGTTCTTCAAACTGCCTTCAAATGTTGCTTTTGATAGAGCTGCAGTTTCTAAACAAGCCAAATCTTCAACCAAACAACTAGAAATTGCTTTAGTTTTCTCATTGAGACTGAAGACTTTGAAATCCATTTGTTACATAGAGATTTTTCATTGTAATTTTATTGTATTTGTTATTACTAATAGGATTTGACTTGTACACATTTAAGTATTTCTTGTCCAAAATTCTTAGACCAGAGTGTTTCGAATTTTGGAGTTTTTCAGGTTTGGGAATGTTTACATAGACTTTTATTAGTTGAAAATACCTAATATGAACCCAAAATGCTCTGAAATTTGAAACTTTTTTTTCCTGACCAGTGGTGCTTAACCATGGAGCCACATCCCCAACCCTTTTTACTTTTTTATTTTAAGACAGAGTCTTGCTAAGTTGCTTTGGGACTAACTAAGTTGCTGGGGCTGGCTTTGAATTTGAAATCCTCAAGCCTCAGCTTGCTGAGCTACTGGGATGACAGCTGTGTGCCATTGCGCTTGGCTCTGAAATTTGAAGTTTTTTTTGAGTACTGGCATTGTCCTCAAAAAGTTTCATATTTTAGCTGGCATAGTAGCACATGCCTATAATCCCAGAGACTGGGAAGACTGAAACAGGAGGATACAAGTTGGAGGCCAGCCTCCATAGCTTAGTGAGACTTGTATCTCAAAATAAAATTAAAAATGGCTGAGGATATAGTCCTACAGTAGAGCACCCCTGGTACCATACACAAAGGTTTTGGATTTTGGAGCTTGTCAGATTTGGGGATAAAGGGATGTTCAATTTATATTATACTTCTTCCCCACTGGTTTTCTGTTCGTTTGCTTGTTGCCCACTCTCAAGGGACTGGGGACAGACTGAGCTGCATGTTCTCATATCATCTCTTACCTCCCACCCCATCCTGGGGATTGAACTAAGAGGCACTTTACCATTGAGTTATTTCTCCCTGCCTTATTTATTTATTTGTTTGTTTGTTCTAATTAGTTAACACATGACAGTAGAATGCATTTTGACACATTGTACACAAATGGAGCACCACTACTTATTCCTCTGGGTATACGTCAGATAATAATCTCACTAAGTTGTGCATGTTGGCCAATTCTTCTGTTATCAATCAGCCTCTTGAGTTGCTCAGATCACAGGTATTCACCATCATGCCCAGCTCTCACTTTTAAAATTAACTGTACCCTAAAGTACGTATTTATAGTCCCTGCTGTCTCCAATATATGTATCCTGAAAGTCCCAAGGCACAAGAAAAGGAATAATAATATTCAGGTGTTGTAGAGTATTTTAAGGCACTAAAATAGAATTTTTAAATTCATTAAAGGGATGCCTTCCCCTACATTTCTTAATAATTGGGTTAGTACTCCCTTGTGTATACATACATTATGTAAGTGTGGCTAGACTATCAGCTGGGTTTGCATTTCATTTATGTGTAAATCAGAAGCATCCCAGCTGTTCTAGTATAAGTCAAGTTTTTGTCAACTTGATTTCTTTTAGGCGCGTTGCTACTTGTCTGCCAGTATTGATAGACAGGGCTTTCTCCTTCAGTACTCATTGAAGCCTCACAGATTGGTATGCAACTGCCACCCTATCCCAGGGAACAAATACTTAAAATATTTTTGTATCCACCTCTCCACACATACCAGTTCCAAGCTTGTTGCCAAAGGATGTAAAAATTGATTTTGGTTGATAGCAAATAGGTTCTGTCTCCTGCTCTGAGCTTCCCACAACACATTTATCTATGTGAATACCTTGTTGATTCTCTTTAGCCACCTTATTTTACTATAACTTATCAAGGAAAATATACAGCATGATCAGTCATCAAGAGCTTATTCATAAGAAGCCTCCAAAATCTGTTATCATATCAAGCCTTTTTTGATTTATGGCTAATATACCTACCATTTTCTAGATTATAGTTAAAATTTTGATAAAATGCTGATTTGCTTATTCCATTCTGTTAAAAAATAATAGCTTTTTTTAGAACTTGGGGTCCTTAAAGCAGTTTTATATGCGTTAAATTTAGTCATCACAGTAGTTCAGTGAGTCAGTCTAGTTGTTAGCCCATAGTCATTAAATGACTTGTGTGTGATCAGACTGTAGAGATCCATGCTCACAGGCTGGAATATGAATTTAGGCCTTATTTTGAATTATTACACTTTTGGCTTCAAGAAACCTGAGAGTTGGATGTAGCATGGTGGCACACACCTGTAATTCCAGCGACTCTGGAGGCCAAGGCAGAAGGATTGCAAGTTCAAGATTAGCCTTGGCAATTTAACAAGGCCCTACGCGCCTTAGTGAGACCCCGTCTCAAAAAAGGCTTGAGATATGGCTCAGTTGATAAGCGCCACTGGGTTTCAATCCCTAATACCAAAAAGATGTAGAAATCTGAGAGTTGGGCATTGTGGTAAAGGCCCTGAGTTCCAGGTCTTAGGATGCTGAGACAGGAGGAAGTTTTAAAAAGGGCTGGGGAAAATAAAAAAAATAAAAAATAAAATAAAAGGGGCTGGGAGCCAGCCTGGAATCCCAATGACTCAAGAGGCTGATCACGGGTTTAAGATGAACTTCAGCAACTTGGTGAGACCCTGTCTCAAAATAAAAATGGGCTGGAGATGTAGCTCAGTTGTAAAGCACCGCTGTGTTCAATCCCTGGTACAAAATAAATAAATAAAATAATTTTTTAAAAGTTTTGGGTTTCATTGATGGTTATGATAGGACCTCTTAATTGGTATCAAGATCTTTGTCCTTCCAAGCTGGTGTGTCATTTTTTCTCTGGTGGGACCATTCCTGTGCAGCTACGGAAGGTCACATTTGACAGTTCTGACAAGCACTTGCTTATGCTTAATGGCTTGATTTCATTCTCACTGGTTGTACTTCAGTAACCTCATATGCAAAATAGGTATATGATTTTTTTTTAATATTTTTTTTTTTTTAGTTTTTGGCGGACACAACATCTTTGTTTGTATGTGGTGCTAAGGATCGAACCCGGGCCGCATGCATGCCAGGCGAGCGCTCTACCGCTTGAGCCATATCCCCAGCCCCTAGGTATATGATTTATGTCATAAAGTTGTCTTATTGAATGTGACACCATCTACCTATACGCACAGAGTCTGGTCCATAATGAAAATTCAAAACATGTTAGTTGCTATTTCTGTTTGAAGTCTAGTGAATTAACCATCTTCAATGTTTCCAGTACGTTTGGTGCTCTGAGAGTAAGGGTTCTCCCATCACATAAGACTACTGGCAAGGGCTGGGGCTGTAGCTCAGTGGTAGAGCGCTTGCACCACATGAAAATTAATAAAATAAAGATATTTTTTTTAAAAAGGACTACTGGCAAACTGGGGGTGGTGGCACATGTCTGTAATCCCAGTGGCTTTGGAGGCTGAGGCAGGGGGATTGCAAGTTCAAAGCCAGCCTTAGCAATTTAGTGAGGCCCTAAGCAGCTCAGCAAGACCCTGTCTCTCAATATATGCAAAAAAGTCTGGGGATGTGGCTCACTGATTCAATCCCTGGCATGAAAAACAAAACAAAAAGACTATTGGCAGTATCCCTTTCTCTGGAGATCCAAAATGAAGATAAACACTAATAAACCTGTTCAGTATTTTAATCAGGTGCTTACTGAGTTTGGGCAATTATACCTATTAACTTCCCTCAAGTTGATAAACACTGAACTGATAACCTTCCACTAAACTCCATATGTACATTTGAAAGATTTAGAGATTGTAGTTTTGGTCCCTCTTCCCCTTAATCCCTGTGAATTCAACCCTTCACAAGTGCAAGTGAAGCTATTTGTCTTAAGGCAAAACCGTCCCAACTTTATCTTGTAGAGTACTCCAAACTTGCCACCAGGTGGTGCTATTGTATAAAATGAAAGTATATAAATGTTGGAATATTTTTATATCTAAGTGAAAGGTGGCCAAAGCATTTATTAAAAGTTACACCAGAGGTCAGCTTAACAAGGGCTGGGGTTGTAACTCAGTGGTAGAGCGCTTGCCTAGCACACTTGAGGCACTGGGTTTGATCCCCAGCACCAGTAAATTTGAGAAAAATAAAGGTATTGTGTCCATCTACAACTAAAAATATATTTAAAAAAAAAAAAAAAAAAAGCTTTAACATCATGGGTGCTGTATAAATGCATGTAATCCCAGCAGCTTGGGAGGCTGAGACAGGAGTGTCATGAGTTCAAAGCCAATCTCAGCAACTTGGCGAGACCCTGTCTGTAAATAAAAAGTAAAAAAGGGCTGAGGATGTGGTTCAGTAATTAAGCCCCCTTGAGTTCAATCCCTCAACCAAAAAATAAAAGAAGTCAGCTTACTAACATAAATGCAGTGGTGTGTAGCCAGTAATATCAGCAGTTTGGGAGGATAATAAGTTCAAGCCCAGCCCGGGCAACTTAGTAAGACCCTGTCTCAAAAAGGCTTGGGGATATAGTTCAGTGGTAGAACATCGCTGGGTTCTAAACCTAGTATTGGGGGATAAAAAGTAGTTTACCATTCACTGGTTTTGGCAGAAGGACTTTTTCCAGTTGTGATTTTATTTTTAGTTAAAGAAAGGCGCTCTCAACCTAGAAATTAAAGGTAACCCAGTGGTAGATGTGACATTTATATCATCACCAATGAAAAAAATTAAGACCTAACAATTCTTTAGTTTTTTAGAGGCATGCAGAGTAGAAAATAGAGTATCCTTGAGAAAGGCAAGTGAACAAGATTCAAGAGTGGTCTCTGTGGTGTGTATCCTGGGTTCATATTCTGTTTGACTTAGTAGCTTTGCAACCTTGAGCACAATTGTGATACCTATTATTTTTCCATTCTGTAGTTGACGGTGATGTGTGTGTGTGTTTAAGATTGAACCCAGGGCCTTGTGCCTTTACCACTGAGCCATATCAACAGGTTGCTGTTGATGATCTCCAGCAACCTTGTCTGAGTGTACAGAAAAAGAAAACTTAACTTTTATGGCATTGGTATGGAACAGAGTAATGTGTTTAAAGCATTAGAAAATGCCTACCTAATACACAAGTGGTAAATACGAGCTGTCATTTTGTCATTGGCTATCATTTTTTTCCTAAATATTTTTTTTTTCTGTTTTTCTCTACAGTTTATTTTCAGTTGCTTTTTAAAGAAGGAAAGCTCATGGTGCAAATTGTTATTTCCAGGTGAGTACATTTTGAGGTTTTACTTAGCTTGAATAATTAGGGCTATATAGGTTTCATGTCTTTCTGGAAGAATCAGGGTCCTCAGGTGCATCTTGCATTGATGTTTGCATTCACGTCTATAGTTGAGTGCCTAGCACTGCCCAGTTTCCCAAGAACTTGTGCTCAACAGAATCTCTTTGGGCCTCGAATGGTGGTGTAGGACACTACTCATCCTTCACCCCTCAAAAATATTGTAACCGCCAGCCCTTTGCTTGCAGTGCGGGGGCTGGAGGCCTGGCAGAATGGGTGCTGATGGAGCTACAGGGGGAGATCGAGGCTCGCTACAGCACTGGATTAGCTGGAAACCTCCTGGGAGACCTACATTACACCACTGAGGTGAGGGGGCTTTTCTTTCCCTGCCTAATGCCTCAGGAAAGCGAGCTACACCAAGGTGGTGCTCCCAGGATCCAAAGTGAGGACTGCCCTCAGGTTTGTTATTTAAGATCTAGCTAATCTGCAGAGCTATCTGCTTGTTCTTCCCCCACCTCTGCAGTAACAGGGAAATTTAGCTTTGGGTTTTCTAGAAAGGTAACATTTCTGAAAGTAGAAATTCTCCTACATGGGGCTAGAAAGAAATAAAAAGGGGATAAGGGTGGGTCATCCATTGTGGCTGATCAACAGTGGTAGAGCCAAACCAGGGAATAGAGGTGCTGCCATTGTCTGCCAAGAGCAGCTTTAAAAGGCACCAGAGTTGAATGGCCTTGCCCTGAACCTCAGGCATCTCATTCTTGTTCTGCCTAAGGGAATCCCTGTGCTGATCGTGGGACATCATATCCTGTATGGGAAAATCATCCATCTGGAGAAACCTTTTGCGGTCCTTGTCAAACACGCTCCTGGGGAGCAGGACTATGATGAGCTTAGCCACGAGACTGGCACCCGGTACCTGGTGACGGCACTCATCAAAAACAAGATCCTTTTCAAAACCCGCCCCAAGCCCATTATCACCAACATCCCCAAGAAAGTATGAAAGAACCCCGGATTTTCCCTAGAGAGCGGCCAACTCCTTGGACTCGTGCTCCACTGCCACCTCGAGGACGGCTCGACGGTTCCCTGGGACCACAGGGGGGTCCTATTCTGAACGCAGGCCACCCACTGGGTGTGAACTCGGATCCTTTCCTTATGGCAACTGGTTCTCTTGGTGGAAATCTGGCCCCATTTCCAAGGAACCCATCTCCTTTTCCATCTTCATCAGGCCCATTGGCATCAAATCCAGCACCTTTCCCTGCTGGTGCTCGTGACCCAAGCATGGCTTCTTTTCCAAGAGGGATGAATCCTGCTGGCACAGGCGCAGTTTCTTTTCCAAGGCCCGGTGGCCTCTTGGGCCCAGGACCAGGACCAACTCTAAACCCTAGAACAGGGGCACTCCCAGGCCCAGGGCCTATGTCTAACCCCAGGTTAGGAGGTCTCCCAGGCCCAGGTCCTATGTCTAACCCAAGGGCAGGTGGTCTCCTGGGAGCAAGTCCTGACCCTAGAAGTGGTGGCTCCTTAGGCCCTGGATCTGTACCCAACCTGAGAGCAGGTGGCTTGATACCTTCTGGGAATGGTCCTCCCAATCCTAGGCCAGTTAGCCTTGGTCCTGGACCAAGTCCCAATCTGAGATCAGGGTTTTTAGGTACAAATCCTGCCCCTAGGTCAGGTATGTTTCCAGGCCCAAGCCTTGGGCCCAACCCACGAACAAGTGGCATGGGTCCAGGTCTTGGTCCTAACCCAAGGGCTGGTGGCCTAGGCCAAGGCCCAAATATAGACACCAGAACAGGTGGCCTTTTGGGTACAGGATCTAGTCTTAACTTAAGAATGGCTGGACCTCAAGGCCTAGATCTTGCCCCCATTCTAAGAGCAGCAGGTCTTTTAGGAGCAAATTCAGCTTCTTTCTCACAGGCTTCTGGAAACATGGGTGCAAGCCCATCCACCATGGCAAGAGTGCCTGGCCCTGTAGGCCCAAACATGGGTCCTAGCTCTCGTGGAATTGGCCTCTCAGGGCCAAATCCATCTCCCATGTCAAGGGCTCCTGGCCCTATAGGCCCTAATTCAGCTCATTTTTCAAGGCCAGGTGGCCCAATGGGAGTAAATGCCAGTCCCTTTCCAAGGGGAACAGGTTCAGGAGGACTGAACCCAACTGCCTTCTCTCAGTCTTCTGGGACATTGGCTTCCAACCCAGGTACCTTCCAAAGGTCTGCTGGCCTCCAGGGCTCAAGTCCTGCAATTTTCCCAAGAGCCTCTGGGCCACTTGGCCCCAACCCAGCCAACTTCCCAAGGGCCACTGGCCTTCAGGGTCCAAGTCCAGCTGCCTTCCCAAGATCTACTGGTCCATTAGGCCCAGGTCAAGTTGCTTTCCCCAGGTCAGCTGCTGGACCCTTGGGTTCTTCTCCAGCAGGCCCTGTAGGTATCAACCCAGCCCCTTTTGCAAGGCCAACTGGGACCCTGGGTCTAAACCCAGCCTCCTTTCCAAGGATGAATGGCCCTGCAGGTAAGAATTTGGTCCCATTTCCTAGAGTGGGGAGCCTCCCTGGCACAAACCCAGCTGCTTTCCCCAGACCAGGTGGTCCAATGGCTGCAATGTACCCAAATGGAATGTTACCCCCTTAAACACCACTTTCTCTCCAGGACCACCTTGTTTTCCAGGCACTGTGGTTTTGGTTAGGGACTATCTCTTAGGTAAAAGGGTTGATATGGAGCTACTGTCTGAAGAACATAGCTGGGGCTCAAGTTCAAATGAGCCATTTTTTTCCTCTGCTTTTTTTTTTTTTTTTTTTGACTGAAAGTGAAATGTTATTTGTGGGACACTTTGACTTTGGCAGGAGGGAATGATCCTAGCCTCAAGAGAAAGAATCTCCGGCCTTCCAGAAACCTGCTGTGCTTTTGTCCCACAGCTTTCTGCCCCTTGTTTCTTACTAGTTTCTTGAATTGTTCTTGTGGACTTTTCCTCAGGGATACATTGGCCTGCAGGTCCCAATTCGTGTGTATTCCCCTGCTCCCCACTGGAGAATCAGCTCACTGCTTTCTAGAGATGTGGCATTGGTGAATGAACCATGCTTCAGTAGCTCTGACCTGGGCAGCTTGGACCTGGTCATCTTCTACTGCCAGACCTTTCCTTGGGGGCTTGAACACAGAGCACAGGGAGGTGGACAACGACTTCACGGACCCACCAAATAAATTTCTGCTTGAGTGGCTGGGCCTGCAGCTCCTTTCTCCTGGGACTTAGAGACAGCTGGATTTAAAAACTCCTCTGCTTATCCAGCTCCCTCTCCACTGGTACTCCCAATCAAAGAACCTCAAGATTTAAACTGATGTGGGTGGGAATATAGGAATTGGGGTGGGGGTGGGGATGAAGGGGAGAAATCACTGTGCTTCGTTCAGCCTGACGTGAAGGATGGTTGGTGTTTTTCCCACAATGTATCTTTTCTTACTGTTTCTCTAATAAATGGGATGAGAGGGCTTCTGCTATCAATCCATTTTGTTACCTGTTCCACAGAGAGAGGTTACCTGTTTTTCATTATTTCAGCTTGGCCGCAATCCTGTGTTACCTGCCCCCTAAAATGCTTCCACTCAAGGAGTAAGGAATCTTTGGTTTTTAGGTCACTCATTTGCCAGTTATTTCACCATAGACCCTGCCTCACCTCTACAATAAAAGCCCTCGTGGGTGTGTAGTTATCAACATAGGCCAACTATATTCCCCATGTCAAGTCAGCTATAATAACTTACCTGCTTTCGAGTTCCACTGATTAAACTGTTTCAACTTCAGTCCTTTTGATGCTAGAATAAAGGGCCAATTTTATTAAGTACAAAGAGGAAGTAGCTAAAGGAGCCTTACTCTTATGGTTTGGGTACGAAATGTCCCCCAAAAGCTCTTGTGTTAAAAGCTTATTCCCCAGTGCAGCAGTGTTTGGAGGTATAATGTGGTTGTATCATGAAAGCTCTAACCTCATCAGTGGACTAGTTTACTGATGGATTGGGGGTGGGGGGAATGGGGATTGAACCCAGGGACACTGAACCACATCCTTGCTCTCCCTCCCCCCTTTTTTTTTTTTTTTGAGAAAGGGTGCTAAGTTGCTTAAAGTCTCACTAAATTGCTGAGTCTGGCTTTGAACTTGCAGTCCCTCATGCCTCGGCCTCCTGATTCACTGGGATTATAAGGCATGGCCACCATGCCCAGCAGATTCACAGTTTAATTGGCTATTGGGAAGTGGTGGAAACTTTAGGAGGTGGGATCTAGTTGAAGGAAGGAGATTACTGTGGGTAAACCTTTGAAGGGTGTATTTTGTCCAGACCCCTTCTTTGGATTTCTTTGCTTCCCAGCAGCCATGAGGTGAACAACTTTACCCACTCCCCACGTGACCTCCACCATGTTATTCTGCCTCACCACATCCCCAGAAACAGTGGAGCCAAGCAACCATGGTCTGAAACTTATGAAATCTAAAGCTGATTTGTGTCAGGGGTTTCAGCACATAAATGGAAAGCTAACAGCAACATTACATGAATCTTTATTTTGACAAATAAGTGCAGTATAAAATTTTTGACCTGAAAAATTAAGGGGAAAAAAAGGCTCCAAGGCAATTGACAGAAGCAGCCCTTCTTGGTTTCCAGCCACAAACAGGACAGCACCTGTCATGTGACCCAGAAGTGTTCCCATTTTGTGTCCAAGGCTTTGGAGGCCAGGCTCCAGGCTGATGCAGCACCATGGGGTTGTCAAGCAGCACCAGGAGTGAAAGATGCAGCAGGATCTTGGAGGCTGTGGGCACCCAGTATGGGACTGGTAGCAGCATTGGGGGAGGGGTGAATGTGAGAGTAGCTGACACAGGGCAGAAGCCAGGCTCACTGCAGCACCCAAGTAGGAACAGCAGCCAGGCCAAGACCTTAAAAAGGGATATGAAGCAGGAGTAGCACAATGATAGCTACAAGGCTGCTGCCATCTGTAAAACTAGTGCTGAAGGTGCCTCAGCAGTCAGTATCAAGAAGAACAATAAACTTGGGCAAAGCTTGGGCTGAAACCCTTGGAGGTCAATGCCATCAAGAAAGAGGTGGGCACCAAGGAATCTGTGGCAATCGATGTCATCAACCCCATGACCTTGTGACAGCAAGAGGAGCTGTAGAAGCAAGTAGCTGCCAAGGAGAAGCATCTGCTGGATCAAAAGTTGGAAAACTGTGTATGATGGTACATGCCTGTAATCCCAGCTGCTGAGAAGGCTGAGGCAGGAGACTTGCAAGTTCAAGACCAGCCCAGGCAATTTAGTGAGACCCTGTCACAAAATTCAAAATTAAAAAAAGCTAGGGATGTAGCCGAGTGGTAGAGTACCCCTGGGTTCAATCCCCAGTACTAAAGCAGGTAATCACAGTTGAAGAAGATAAAGACACTGAGGGAGGATGAATCCTGGCTTGACACCACAACCTGTCACAGCTGCAGAAGAACTTAACAGAGAACAGGACTGAGTTGCTGGAAGAAATGGATCAAGTCTGGTGTCAGTACTCTGGAGGAAGAGGAATTTAGGCAGAGTTGACCAGACCCACAGGGCCTCACTGTGGAGTGTGCCATTGATTCCTTTCAAGAGGGGATGGGTGTAGTCTACCCTTAAGGATAGAAGTGTGTTAGTGAAGGAGGAAGATGTGCTAGTGAACTTGAACCTGGTAGATAAGCAGAAGGCAGAGAAGAAGCAGTCTATCTGCTTCCCTCATGCAGAGAAGAGAACATGGACTTGGCACAGCAAAAACCTCGGTCTGGTCTGGCCAAGTTCAGTGAGTAGCTGGAGGGGGTGCGGTTACAGTCCCATTTGGACCAGGGCTTGTATGGTCAACAAACTTTGGGAACTGACTGGAAGAGGTCTGGGCTTGGCAGGGCTCTGGTTTGCCTCTGAATACTTCACACCTAAAAAAACAAAAACAAAAAAAAAAAAAAAAACTAAGCCAAGGGTGAAGAAAATCTGCAAGGAAAAGGAGGTGGTAATATAAGCTTGCTATCTTTTGGGGGACTAGACTTATGCTGGAGACTTTGGTTCTAGACTGCAGGGCCAGGGTTGGTAATGAGTGCCCACAGCAGAGTAGGTAGCCCCAGAGGATAAGGAGCCTGTGTCCCAGCCCCCTCCATTGGATACCACCTCATGGAGAAATGGACATCACCTCCAAGAGAGTGGTGAGAAGGTGGTAGAGATTGAAGAAACAAAGTGGATTCCCAAGCGGAATAGGACCATCCTGTTTAATGCCACCTTGGAGTTTTATCGTACCTTTGGTGAGATACCCACCTATTGTCTGGCTGTCAATCAGAAGGAGCTCAAGGACTGAATGAGACTAGAAGCAATGGTGGCTCTGATTCAGACACAAAAGTTAGAACATTGACTAGAGCAGCCAATCTAGATGAGAAGCCACCACCATCCTGAACCAGGCCTCTATTGTGAACAGAGGTCTGGCCACTGTGTCAGAATAAAAGGTTGCTATAGACAACAGTGTAGAAGTGATGCTGGTGAAGGCCCCCAATAAGTCCCTGTCCTCAAGGTATACTGTACTGAGGAGAAAATGGCCAGAGAAAAGGAAAACTGCTGGGAGGAGTACCATGGCTTCACGCAGGACTTCAAAGAGGGTGACTACAAGCCTGATGTGAAGATTGGGCACATGGATGAGATGGACTGGAAACACACACCCAAGGAGGCTTTCTGGCACCTGTCCTACCATTTCTATGGGAGGGATTCAAGCAAGATGAAGATGGAATGGTGATGAAAAAGCTGAACAAGGATGTGGCTTCCGAAGAGCTCCAGCAACATGCCCTTGGGTACCATGGCTTTAAGAAAAGCAGAAGTCCTAGAAGATACTATACATTAGGCTTAGTGACATCAGCAAGAATAGAAACATGAACACCATCACCAAGTGGAGCTGCATCCCTTCTAATCCCTTCCCAACTTTGAAGTTCCCTTATTTAAAAAGCAGGTAAAAATAAATATGTTTACAAATTATTGTGAAAATAATACAAAAGAAGATTACATTTCTCTATGAGGAAAAAACAAAATGTGTTCAGTAATATAAAGGCTCTTCCCTTGCAAGAAACGGGGATAAAGCTGAAGACCCAGTTTGGTTTTGTTGCTGAAAAATGTACAAAATAACTTAGAAAAACCAGTCGAGGTCAAACGTTGTGAGCACGATACCTATACTTGTCTTCTTCTGGTCTGAGGAAAGGTGACCACAGTGCAAGGCAGAGCTGATGGTAGGACAGTCAGGAGTTTTCCATCCAGAGTCCATCATCCTGCATTAACCTTCAAGTAAAAGCTGAAGAAAAACAAGCCCTTAGTGAAGTCTGAGCTCTGCAGTTGGCTGACCGGATTTCCTCCATTGTAATGCTCAAAATAGTTTACTTCTTGGCCAGCAGAAGCACGGAAGAGCCTAGAATGCCTTTGGCAAATGCCTGCTGCTTCCCAGTTATCAATCCTGGGCTTGACATTAACCAGCAGTTTTATTAGAAACTTGAGGTCTGTGTTATATAGCAACTCTTGGCTACACCTGGAAAACTCTTGAGCTCATGGAAGGAGGAGGAAAGCACCAGGGTTTGCCCATCTGTAGTTCAGAGCACACTTTGTTCCTTTGTACAAAAGCACCTGGGTACACTGGAGGATTGCCCCTTCAACTACTTTACCTTAGTGTTTGTTCTGAGAGGTTAGCTGGCTTCCCTGGAAAAGGGCATTCAGAAAGACAGCAAGTAGACAACTCTTAAGTCAAAGGCTTAGTCAATCCCAGGTACAAAACCAAAAGCTGAACACAGTCTATTGCAAATCACTAGAAAATTGCTTCCCCTCACTCCCAAAGGCAGAGAAATAAAACAGTCCTGGGGCTGTATGAGAGAAAGCAAGAACCTTGGTATATAGGACCCAATTCCATCTCCTAGTTTGCTTTCTGTTCCAAAGCAAGCAATTGCAGTAGTGACAGTCCATAAACTGGCTGTAAGATTTCCCCGGAGAAGCTGCTGAAGAAATGAACAGTCTCAAAGATGACCAGCTTGAATTCGAGGGTTAGGGTTCACTTTGACAACACTGAATAGCTTTCTGTTGGAGATGATTGTCGAGAACAGTAACTTGAAAGTCATCCATGCTCACAGGCTGTCAAGTAATTGATCCAGTTCCAAGATGGTAGCTAGTTTGATCAGAGGCTTCCGATATTCTTCCAGTATGTGCAGAAAGCAGTCATGCCTAATGCACAGGGTCCTATAAGAGCCCTAGGTGCCATCTTAAGAAACTTACCCATGATAATGAGGATGGAAGAGGTAACTCATTTCATACCCCCCAAAAAATGTGCCTTTGAAGAAAGTGAAGTAAGGAGGATGTAACATCTAGCCTTAGATTAGAGCTGAAACTGAGAGGAATTCAGGAGGGTACAGATTGAAATACCCAAAACCTCACTTCCTTTTGAACACATAGGGGTTTGATATTCCTGGTAGTTGGCTAAAACATTTTTATCTGCCCAGCAGAGATCATAGCAAGGTTAAAGTCCATCTAGAAGTCTAAGCAGTTTTCCATGTGGAATACCTTCAGCCCAAGGCTTCCATATAATCCCATGGTCTTTAGCACCAACACACTCTTTTCCTCCTGGCAACATTTTCTTTTTAATAATGCACTTTTAAAAGCAGTTCAGTGCTGGCTTGGCTCATCCATGGGATGTGGAGATGTGGAATGGTTTATATCTCATAAAGCACCATTCCTGGACCCTGTTTTCTGATGCCCAAAGATCAAGCTTCTGGGCCTTGAATATCAGGCACATTCTTACTGGTTGAGGGTTGGGGAAGGAGGGGACACTAACTTGCCTGCCCTGATCTCTCAGTGGAAGTTCTCCCACCACCTCTGGTAATATATTAAGAAGGACTAAGAGGATCCCATCCCATAGGCTGTTGTTCACTTACCCATCATAAGTTGCCACTGAATAGAACTTATTACTTGGTTTAGCACACTTCTGAATTCCCTGTGGATCCCAGGGGGAGAAAAAATAATTCCCAGAGGCTATTGCCTGTGTGCAGGAGGAAGCAGGTAGCCAGAAAACATGATTTCCCTTGAACCTGAAAAATCCGTGTCACCCTCCTCTGGGCAAAGCTGCCTAGGCCATATTATAGTCACCATTCTTTGCATTTCAGATTTGTCCTTCGAACCATTAAGAAGCTAAAACAGCACTCCCTCCTCCCTCCCACCCCATCTTTTCTCTTTCATTCCCCTACCCTCCCCGTACCCATTGCACTTTTCCCACTCTACTTGGGGGACTGTGTCACACCTCAGCAAAAGCCAAGCTATACTGCTCTGGCTTCTTCCCACATCGCCTGGCAATGATGGCCAGATAAAGCATTAGGAGGGCCACCCAGTAGCAGCCATACAGGATGGCCCCAGAGACAAGGAAGGCTAGCTCGGTCTCACTGAACAAGTCCTGGCAATAAGCTGTGTAGGCCAGCCCACCCAGAAGAACTGCTACCCAGATGGACACAGGGATGAGGCCAATGAAGTTCACTACAATGGTTTTTCTGCCAGAAGTGCCCCAGCCAGATTTGTTGATGGTAGCAATGGCAAAGATTTTGGCTGGCAGGAGGCTGGACATATAAAGAAGGGAGTAAAGAGACATGAAGATCATCTCTGCATTGCCCCGAAGGAAGCAGGCATAAGTAGCCTTGATAATTCCCACCAGCTGGACTGTCAGCAGGAAGAGAAGAATGTTCCAGATACGGCCACGGTAGAAAAGCTGTATTACTGTAGCAATGAGGAAGAAGGGAAAGAAACCTGTGACCACTGATTCGTAGGTCATCCAGAGGTGGTGCTTATGGAACCACAGAGAATTGTAGAGCCACTCCCGGAAATAAGACTTGCTCCAGCGGGTCTGCTGGTTGAGCCACCGGAGGTACTTGGTGGGGGTCTCTGTGAGGCACTTGGAGCGTGCTGTATACTTAGTCCGGTAGCCAAGACTCAGGACTCGGTTGGTAAGGTGCCGGTCATCCCCAAAGCTGCATTTGCTGCCTAGGAACTTCTGATGGTACCAGTCCTCCAGGAATTGCTGGAGAAGGCTATTGCGGTACATGCCCAATGGCCCACTGATACACTGCACACATCCAAAGTAGGACTGGCAGGCCCGCTCCACATTGAAGGCCATCCAGTACCGCACACTGCTTAGGAAGGAGATCCACGAGTCATATTTGTTGAGGATCTGTAAGGGAACAGATATGCTGGGCCTCCTCATCTAAGGACATGCGCCCCAGAGTAGTCATGTACCAGAGATCATGAAGCCTTCCTACCATGAGTTCTGTAGCCCATTGCTAAGATTTCTGGCCACCATTTCTAGTCCCATCAGACCTAAGAAACCCAAGGCTCAGAACAGCAACCATACTCATTGACTCTCCCCAGCAACAACTCCACCTTCCCACTGTGTCATCTGCATTGATTTTTCCAACTAAGCTGCTCTAGTAGTCTAAGCCACCTTCAGTGTCAGAAGAGATTATGTGGTGGTGACAGAAAAGGACTTGAGAAAGAAGCAAAACCCCACCCCAGCCACCTGTTCTGCGCCTTACATAGTTGAAAAACTTCTGGAAAGACATGATATGTTGCCTGCAGTATCCTCTAGAAGATGATCAGCCTTTGAAGCTTACCAGAGCTCTTCAACTTAAGTTCCTTAAAAGCAAGGGCTTCTGAGGTCCTAACTTGGGAGCTATTTGCTATCCCATCAGCCCAAAAGGAAATACCCTCTGGGATCTGTGACCTCAAAATCCTTCCTGCAGCATGGGCTCTCCATAATTTGGTAATTTCCCCTCTTTACATTGAAAAAGAGCAGGAAAGGAATTGGGTAGCAAGTTAGGTGAGCCCTTTGTTGCCAGTGAAAACTGCCAGAAGGGAACCTCCCCCCAGATACTAGCAAGTAAAAAATACCCATTTTCCAGGTATATCCTGTTGGATTAGGAAACAGAAAGAGTCTAGATTCCTACCCAGAAATTCCTGGTTACTTCTTACCTGGACATCTCCACCAACTCCCCCTACTTGGGGATCTTCCTCCAGGACTCGAAGCATCTCAATGGTACAGGCTGGGTCTAGCACAGTGTCAGAGTCACACACCTACAAGGGAGTACACAGACCATTTTGACTTCAGGCCTACACACATACCCTCCCACTTCCACAAGGCTGCTCACTGCCTGAGGGATATGACCCCCTTCCACATGATTTACTTCCAGCAGAAAGATCTAGACCATAAAAGGGGAGAGAAGAAAAACAAAGGAAATTAAGGAAAAGGTGAGTTTACATACCAGGCTTGATAGCCTCTGAGCTGAAGAGAGAAACCCACAGTAGACTGGTCTGGGAAGGGGAAAATGCTTACCACTGGGTAAGCTTTTACCCTTCCAGATCCAGAATCCACAGAACTGGTCTCAAAATATTTCTATGGGGTCCTTAGGCAGAAATGGGGAACAAGCCACTGAAGTCAGACAACAGGCACAGTGGGCTAGATCAGGGACAGCAGACATTCCTCAGAACACTGAGAAGTAGCTCCTATCAGAGGCTACTGCTGAAGTGATCTCATAGAGTAGTTGTTATCAGTGTCTTTATTTCAGCCTCTGGCTTCTTGGACAACCTAAAGCCCCAGGGGTGAGGATCGGTCCACCTACCCATAAGTCCCTCCATGAAACCACAAAATGGCCCCAGACATTCTGTGCTCCCTCATCACAAACTCCATTGGCCAAGGCTGATTGGGACACAGTATGACCAAAGAATGCTCTTTTGGGATTTACTCAGTGGTTGTGGAAGCCAACAATTGCTGCCTCGAATCAGGCCCTGGCTCTCCTTTTGTCAGAAGGCTCATGGCCCAGCAGGGTCCTACTATTAATTGAACTTAGGCTCTGAACACTTACCCTGATGGCTGACTTCTTATGTTTTCTAAAAAGACACTGAATTGGTACAAGAGGCTAGATAAATCATTAAGCAGGGGAATTGGTTTATGGACTCCTAATTGAGCTCTATGGTCACAGTTCTCAGAGTAGAATATCCACAAGTGAAACAACCCTATTCCACAGCCTAAAATCCTTTCATTGAAGATACTTATATATGTAAAGTCCTGGGTTCACTCCCCAGCACCAAAAAACTTAAAAAAGGTTCCCATCAGCCTTCAGGAAGACAGCTGCCTCTGACACCTCAAACTTTCCCAGTTTTCTCTTGTGTCAAAAGAGAAGGTGGCCACAGGCAAATAACAGTAGAAGCTAAGGAGGAACCAGGCACAGTCATCAGTGCCAGGCTAGGTTCCTCACATGTGCTCCTTCCCACCTCCTTATCAGACACATCCTTACATCCTGGTCCCCAGAAGGTCCCAGCTAGCCTTTGGCCAGAATCAGAGCCTCTCCAGCCTACAGGACAAGCTACCCAGTGCTGCTGGTCTCATTGCTACTTCCTGTCCTCACCCTAACCGATTCTCCATGCTGCTCCATCTCTTTCATACCAGGGAGGTGGTTTTAGCTTAGCAGGAAAGGAAGAATCCTGAGCCACCTGGCTTTCCCCACTGGCAGGGGCAAGGTTCTCTCCCACAGAGAGAAAGACACACACCCTCAATAGGACTGTTGGAGGGCAGGCTGAAATCCATCAAGCTTCCCTGGCTCTATCCCAGGGCTGCCTTAGGCAGTGGCCCCAGGGCCATAAAGAAAAAGGCATGTCTCAGGTATGGGCATGTTTGCAGATCCACCAGAGTGCACAGATGACTGGGAAAGGGAACCATGTGGCAGAGCAGCTTTGGGGTGGGGGGCAGGTCCTGTAATTCAAGGGAGTGAATGACAAAGCTACTAAGGTTTGAGCATATGTCAGGGCTCAGGGCTTTTTCTAAGCTTTTGGGTTCCCAGGAAGTTTTCACAAAAGTTCCCCAATCCTAGGTGAACTGCAGAATCAAACAGCATTCTAGGCTTACATCCCTCCCTTCATGGCTGGGAAGGTCCTTGGGTCTAGGAAGACGAAAAAGACAAAGGTATCAACTCACACAAGGACATACCCTTCAAAAAAATTGTGCCAAACAAATTGTGCACACTAGTTCTAGGTAGGTACATGAATAGAAAACGTAAATAGTATCAGAGACTTCACCATGCTGTCATCAAGACTGAACAGCACACAGATGGCTGCAAGAATAGCTACTATTTTATGCACTTATGAAACTATGGGCAAAACTCTACAGCAGATGCAGAGAAGGGCAGAGACAGGCACAGGTAGTGTGAATGCTATGAAAACTTCTGGACCAGAACATGGGGTTCTGGGATTTCAGTTTCTGCATGGGACTGAATATATGAGTTTTAATCTTCTCAATTCTCTCTAGGTTGTGTTATTTGAAAATTGAAGCTCTGTCAACCTCGTCAACCTAATAAAATTTCCAGGCTAGTGTCAGAGACACACTTTGACCAGAAGCTGGGCAGGGTCTGCTCAGGGTTCCAGCCCTGTTAATGGTGCTAAGAAATGAAGTGCTAGATGTCTCACACCCTGAGTCCCTTCACTCCTGCCTCACAGACATGGATTTGACAGTAGGAAGAGTGGGACTTTGGACCCATAACAAACCAGATTTTTTTTTTTTTTTTTGCTCTTCTCACCCCTATATTGCCAGTGGCCAAAGAGAGAGTATTGCCGAGGACTGAGAGCAGACCTGAGATAGCTGCCTGACTCTGCACCTTACTAGCAGTGTAACATTAATTAAGTTACTTTCTATGCTTCTGTTTCACCTTCTATGAACAGAGTTAATAATAGTACTAATCACTAGGAGTATTATGAGGATTAAAATAGCTGATGTGTCTAAAGTGCCCACAGCAGTGCCCACTGTAAGGTAAATTCTGTTGTAACAGTTTTCTGCTCTTATTATTGGAATATCAACTCAAATATCTGACCAAAGTCAAGGAGAGGCAGAACCAAGCTTCTAATCCAGTCCTGTCTGACCCCAGGAGAGCTTCAGAACCTTTATGCCCTGTTCAGTTCAAAGGAGGGATATGCACACACATTGGACCTAAATTAGATCTAAAACTCCGAAAGGAGAGCATGCCCCATTGGCTCAATATGTGTCCATCAACACAGTCCTAAGGAGTCACCCTTACCTGGATATAGTCCACGGAGTCACCAAGGGCCTTAAAGGCTGTGTACATGACCTCACGCTTGCCTCCCCACTTCTGCATGATGCATGAGAAGGTGCTGGCCCGTACCACTGCCCGCACTCGCTCCATGCCCTCCTGCAGGCTGGCCTCAGTCTCGCCCTCACCCGCCTCATGGAAGTTGCTGCGCCATACAAAGAAGCCGGCTTGTTCAGTGCCACCCAGCACCTCATGGAAGATATCCAGCATGTAAGCATCCTCCTGGCGATTGCCATCCACCACCATGACTACCTTGAGGTCAGGAAAGGCAATACGCTGGGCTGAACGCAGGCACTTGCGCAAGTAGTCAGGGTCCTCCTGGTAGGCTGCAATGCAGAGCGCCACTGAACGCCGCTGCTGGCAGGACAACTTTATTGGCCGCCCTGCCCTGCGCATGCGCCGATGCTCCAGGAAGGCGAACAGGCTCTGGATGAGCAGGTGCAGGCCCAGGATGGCGCCGTACAGGCCAAAGGACAGGTAGTGCTTTTCTGTGTGGATGAATTGGTAGCCTGTCACATAGGCTGCCAGGATGCCACCCAGCACCGCCAGGGCAAACAGGCTGGTGCCCACCACGCGTAGGGCTGTCGTCAGCTGCACCGGCATCTGGCAGAAGGTAGGAGATATAGGGTCAGGCAGGACAGTATTTCTAAACAATAGGAGGGTAGGCATTCTCGGAGTCTGGCTCCAAACAAGGGAAATGGGCTGCTAATAAAACCATAATTACCACTTACTGAGCATGGCTAAGACCCAGAAGCTAGACTAGTAGGTTCAAATCCCAGCTCTGCTATCTATGTAACCTCTGAGTTATTTCATTGATGAAGTGTGGGCTGCAGTACTAATCTCATAGGATCTTCAAGGGGTGAATGGGTGACATGTGTAAAGAAAGCAGACAAACCAGTTGGGCATGGTGGCCAAGCTTGTAATCCTAGCAGCTCTTGAGGCTGAGGCAGGAGGATTGTGAGTTCAAAGCCAGCCTCAGCAGCTTTGTGAGGTCCTAAGCAACTTAGCGAGAGTTTGTCTCAAAATCAAATATTAGAAAGGGCTGTGGGGGCTGGGGATGTGGCTCAAGTGGTAGTGCGCTTGCCTGGCATGCGTGTGGCCCGGGTTCGATCCTCAGCACCACATACAAAACAAAGATGTTGTGTCCGCTGATAACTAAAAAATTTTAAAAAATATATTTAAAAAAAATAAAATAAAATAAAAAGTGCCTCCCCACTTCTGCATCATGCAGAAGTGGATGTGGCTCAGTGCCCCTGGGTTCAACTCCTGGTTACCACACCACCACCAAAAAGCAGACAAACCAAAGGCCAGCATTTTGTGACACCCCACAGATGGCAGAATGGGATCTGCTTGATCCAAAGTCGTCTTTTTTTATAATTTTTTTTAGTTGTAGATGGATACAATATCTTTATTTTATTTATTTATTTTTAAGTGGTGCTGAGGATTGAACCGAGTGCCTCACATTTGCTAGACAAGTGCTCTACCACTGAGCCACACCCCCAGCCTCCAAAGTCTTAATAGGTAAGCTTAAGTAGAGTGAGCCTGAGGCATTCCTGAGCATAAGGGAACAGCTCTGCAGACAGCGTGGTAGAGTAGTGGAAGAGTGGCAGCCAGTGGCTTATGAGCTACAACCCCTGGAGAGGGTGAGTGACTGCATTCTAGGAGACTGTTCATTGGTAAAGCACAGCACAATGCCCTTGAAGAAAGTGGGGGAGGAAAAGATGAGGTGAAACTGCAGGAAACAAAAAGAGGTGGGGGGTGGATGCAAACAGCTTCCCTTTCTCATGGCAAAATCAGTAAGAGAAACTTCCCAGTGTTCTGCTCTCTCACCTTTTTCTCATTTACTTGAGAGGCAGGAAAGAAAGGGAAAGCCGCAGGGAAAGCAAACAAGGGAAAGAAGAGGAAATGAGAGCTGGGGTGTGGGCAGCCCTCCTGGAAGCCCAGCACTGAGGAGCGCCAGAGGGAACAGCAGCCACCACTGCAGCAGCCTGAGAGAGGTGGCTGCTGGAGAGCCCCATCCGCTTGGTCCTAGTGCCCTGGTGGAATCTCCTTGTTCGTCCCTCAGCCTGGCCACTTCTGGAGATGATGCCAGGATGCTGAGTTTCTATTTGCAGCCAAATCAGGGCTCCTAGCATCTATCCTGTGGTAACTTGGCTTGAGACAAGCTCTACTACCTCGTGGCTGCCTGAGCTGTGCCTAGGTTCTCTAAGACTTGATCTCCCCCCACCCTCAATAGGGTTTCTAATGGTTTCTTGCTTCATAAGTCTCAGGAAAATAATTTCCCTGAAAATGGAAACATGTCAGCCCTACAGTGCTGCCCAGTGGTAAGGCTGATTGTGGCTTCCTCTGGAGCCCAGTGGGGGACAGCAGCATGAAGAAGAGGTGGGAAGGACAGGCTGACAAGGACTGCTTCCTGCCCTCCATTCTGACCTAGGCCTTCTCCCCATGTCCTCTTCTTACCACCTGCCCCTTCTAGAGAATCCATTTCCACCCTGGGAATCCAGACAATGATCTCACTTTCAAGCTTGTTCCAACTCTAGGACTCGCTGAAACGGAGCCCTCCATCCCAACACAAAAACACCTTCCTGCCAGGGGACACACCTTACATAGGAGGAGTGAGCAAGCAGTCACGGCCTAAATCAGCCAGAGACTCAGACACTAGCAGCCTTCCAGCATCTTGGATCAAAAAGCTGTTGGCAGACTCGCCTCTCCGGGAAGCTCGGCCTCTCTGCCCCGCCAGGCCGGCGGTGTGCTTCCTCTGCAGGACTCCTAGTCCTCCCAGTCCTCCTTTCCTGCACACGCCCGAGGCCCAGAGCCCCCTGGGCCCCCTGGGCCCCCACCCATCACCCAGGGGCGACCCCACCCCCCCGTGTCCCCTTCTGGAGCTTACAAGATGAGGGGGCGCTGCGGGCCTCACGGCCAGTCTGAGCTCTGGGAAGGGGCAGGAGGTGCCGGGCCCAACCCAGCAACCTGCCAGGCCCTGGCGCCCCGCCTCGGCGCAGTGACTGAGGCTATGCCTACCAGGTCAATGCGGCCGCGAAGGCACTCGCCAAGCTTCATCACCCGGCTGGGCTTCGCGTACTGGCGAAAGCGGCGCCGGCCACACCCACGTGCTGGTTTCCCACGACCCAGCCGGGAAGGAACGGAAAACCCAAGGAATCACAATCGGACTAGACCTGCTCATCTTCCCGGGGCTCCAGCTACCTTGGCAAAAGTGTGTCTGCAGACAAAGGCGGCATCCCCGGTGTCGCCAGTCCCTTATTTCCCCGGGCAGGACCCCTCCCCCACAGGAATTAGAGGCACTACCTCTGTACCCTCCTCTCGGAGGACCCAAGAAGGTCCTACTGCCGTATTCCCTATGTGCAATCAGGCTCTGGTGCGGTCTCTGGTTGAGGTCCCCTGCCCCTGCAGTCACCCCAAGCCGGCGAAGGCGAAGTGATCCTACAGCCTGGATCGCCAACCTCCACCCCACCCCCATACCCTTCGCTCAGAAAGGGTTCACGGGAGCCAGTCCCAAACTGGCTAACGCGCACTCAGTTTCAAGGGCACAAGGTTGGGGCTTTCCCCAAAACCGGTCCCGCCGACTACTGAAGGAAAACCCTCCAGCCAAAGGCACTCGCTTCCCTACCTCTCTACCCCCCAAAAAAACTTTGAGGGACTGCCTGGTCTGCAGCGTCTCTCCCGCTGACAGGTGCGCCCTGCTGCGGGGCCCTCATGCAGCGGAATGGAAACTTGTGCGCGAGATGGGGGCTCCTTGCCTTGCGCCTGGGCGCCCTCAGGTCCCTCTGAGCCGGCAAAGGAAAGGAAGCTCAGTCTGGCGGACGTGCAGCCGTGGCCCGGCTGACCCGCAGGAACCAGAGCTCTGGGAATTGGTGTCCCCACAGGTGTGAAGACCCTGGAGGGCGTGGATGGGGGAGGGGTACTCCAACCAGCCTCGTGCCCCGCACGGTCGTCCGCCTCCTAATTCATTCACAAACCAGGAGCCGCAAGGGAAGAAGGGAGGAGCGGCTGGAGGAGGAGAAGCTGGAGGAAGAAAGGGAGGAGGGGTCAGTGGGGAAGTGGCTGCAGGAATCGCCGCCGAGAAGCCTGGAGCTGCCACGGCCCCAGCTGGCCACCCAGCTGTGGACACCGTCCCCTGGGGCTCGGCAGAAGGGATCCCCAGAGCCCGGTTCCCAGGGCCCGCAGCGCAGCCCCGCGCGGCCCGCCCTCCGAGGTGGCCGGCCCGCGCTCACCGTGCCGCCGGATGCCCGCGCTCTGGTGCTCAGCAGGCCCGCGGCGGCTCCATGCCCCTCCTCCGGCTCCTATCGTCGCCGCGCCTCCCTCCACGGTGCGCCGCTGCCGCCGCCGCGCGCTCGGACTGACGAGTGCCGGCCCTGCCAAGCCGCCTTAAGTACCGAGCTCGTCCTCGCCGAGAGAGGCGCCCTCCTCCGGCCCTGGGGCCGCGAAAGTTGACAAGAGTAGGAGGGTTCCCCGAGGGCACCCCGTTCCCGGCTGGGTCGAATGGAATCCACAGGCCTGCGTTTGGCGGCTTGTGGGGTCCAGCGTGGACATACAGCCTCAGCGCGCTCTTGGAAACTGGTTTCCTCAATGTGGCGGAAGGCAGAGCTGCTCCGCTATTGCCTCGGGGCCAGATGCCCAGGGGAGGAGGTCATTGTGCCCAATTTTGAACCTGAAGCGTCGCTAACTTTCGAGATAACCCATAGGTTCCTCCAGAATTCTTACTCTCCGTCCCCGCCTCCAAGCCCCTCTTTCTAGGTCTTGAAAACCTACTCACTCTTCAAAGCTGGGGAGCAGAACGAATCACCCCTACCCCGGACTTCTACACGCCAAGGGGCTGTTCGTTAAAATCAAAGCAGCGGAACCTTCCTGATGGAAGAGAATAGTTATCAAATATAAAAAGGTTGGTCAAAGAAGGCGTTAACTATTGTGACCAGCTTAGCTTTGAATCCCACAGTGGGGCGCTGATGACATTAAGGCTGTTTGTAAAAGCTGCAAATGGTTTAGCAGGAAGCTTGCAGGTTCCGGTGTCTTAAAGCCAAAACAATTCCTCCTACCCTTTTTTACACCTTTATTTCAGACATTCATGACCTCCTAAATTCCAAATTGACCTCAATGCCAGCTGGGGCTAGACTTGAGATGAAAGGGAGGGGATAGGGGAAAGGAGGGCATTAGCTGAGGAAAGAAATTTAGAACCAGCTGAAGACCCTGAGCTTTTACATCTCAGAAAAACTTGAAGGACATAAAAACAATGCACTTGCATATCCTCCAAACACAACTGCGATAATTTCCATCACTTTCCTAACTACAAAAACTTTATAGCAACATGAGCTACAGTTTATAAGCTGCTCCTCCCAGAAGTCTTAGTGCAGGGACTTGTCTGTTCACCCTCACTCTGGGCTATAGAGCTGAGCATCACAGGCAAAGCCCCCAGGACCTTGACCCACTCCCATTCTGCAGTAGGAAATCAAACCATTTCACACTGCTTGGGAAATGATCACTAAAAAGTTATTTATGGGTTAAGCAGGTACATTAAAAAAAACTACCCTATATACATCTATAACTACACAATAGGTGGGATTCTTCATCATGTACAAACAGGAAAATGAGAAATTATACTCCGTTTATGTAATGATGTATCATAGTGCATTCTACTGTCATGTATAACTAATTAAAACAAATTTAATTCTAGGCACAGTGGTGCACACCTGTAATTCCAGCAGCTCTGGGGGCTGAGGCAGGAGGATCATGAGTTCAAAGCCAGCCTCAGCAAAAATTCCATATCCCACCACTTACAAATGTGAATTCAGATGTTGTTCAATTGGCTTTTTACACTGGTTCCAGAGGCCAAGCCTCCCTACTTGACTCAACAGAAGATTCATACTGTACTTGCATAGTCGTTTAACTAAATTGCTGAAGGCCTGCTCTGAGCAGAGAAGGGTGCTTCGGTACCCAGAGTTCTCAGGCTAGTTCCTGCCACCCAGAAGGTTATTCATCTTGAAGACAAATAAAGTTGAAAACAGAAAAACAGTCACTATACAAGGTCTAAATATTGGTAAGAGGATCCAACTGGAAGAAGTTGAGAATTTCAGGTAAGAAATCTCTGTGAGATGCAATGGGCTGGGCAGAGTTCTGTGAAAAACTGGGGAAGCTGTTAAGGACATTCTTGAACTGGGAACACTTGTAGTCCCAGCTACTCAAGAGGCTGAGGCAAGAAGGAGGATTGCAAGTGTGAGGCCAGTTTAGGTAATTTAGCAAGACACTGTCTCAAAATTTAAAAATAAATAAAAAACACTGGTAATGTAGCTCACTAGGAGAGTGCCGGAGTTCAATCCCTAGTACCAAAACAAACAAACAAACAAACATTCTAGATAGGAAGACTAGTTTATATACAAGAATAGATACAGGAATGGGCAAGGTGCATTTTTGTTTGTTTTTGGTACTGGGCATTGAACCGAGGGGCACTTTATCACCAAGCTACATTCCAGCCCCTTTTTTTTTTTTGAGACAAGGTCTTGCTAAGTTGCTCATGGGTCTCACACTAATTTGCTGAGGCTGGCCTCAAATTTGTGATCCTCCTGCCTCAGCCAACTGAATCACTGGGATTACAGGTGTGCACCACCACACCCAGCTGGCAAGGTGTATTTGAAGGACAGCAGAGCCTGGATGAAACAAGAAATTTAAACCAAAGACTTCCAACTGTGGCAAATAATGACTTCTTGCTGCTCTGAGGAAGAGGATACTAGGACAGATTGTGGGCACAGTGACCAAACAAGGAGTTTGGATTTTATTGGGTAGGTTATGACTGAGCAAAGTAATGATAGGTCACAAGTGCTGTATGGGGCAGGCTGGGCCAATAATATTTTGGGGTGAGGACTAGATACATAGGAAATTAAGAGGCAGATAAGCCAACCAAAGCTGAGAAAGGGCTTTGATGACACTTGTGGATGCTGCCTTCAGTAGGTGATGATGAGGGCTGGCTGTGTCGACCACTGTGTGTGTACAATGAAAGGTATGCAGAAGTAGAATCAAGAGGAAAGTTTATGCAGCGTGGAGAGCTGAAGGGGACTTTCTCAAAGCTGTGGAGGGTATGAGATAACTGCAGCTCTACAAACAAATATTTCACCTTTCAACTAATTTTCAAATCCAAACTCACGACTCAAATACCTTGCACTAGGAGTCGGCCATTCCATCTCTTTGTGTCACATAGGGGCTTGAATTTTGTAACATTGCCAGTAACCAGATACTCCCTCAAGCCTACAGTTCCACTCTGCTGGCCTCCTAGTAAGGGACTTGAGGGAGGGAGGGAGGGAGGAGGGATTGTGGTTCCTTGGACTCCTCTCACCCTCTGACCTCAAGCTTCAGTGCTCCTCCCTGGCATTCAGCCCACAATTTCTAGCAAAGCAAAACTGAATGAGAGCTAGCAGCCAAGCCACCCAGGCTTCCACAATCCCTCCAGGTTTCATCCTGATCACCATAAAAACCTTTTAAAGCTAATGAAGATAGGTTTAAAAATGGCTTCCAAAGTGACATGAGTAACTAGGGAGGCTAAGGCAGGAGGATCCTTTGAGCCCAGGAGTTCAGAGCCAGCTTGGGCAATATAGAGAGAGCCTGATTAAAAAAAAAACACACACACACACACAAAAAAAAATCCCACATACATAACATGGTTTCCATATAGTAGCAGTTTATGTTCCCTCCACTGACTAAGGGCTTTCTCTGCAACAGTAGTTAATACATAATTCAAAGTGGAAAGATTGTGTCTTGACTACAGCAAAGCAGCTTTGACGAACAAAGTTTTACTTTCAATACTTTCTCCTTTTACTGACAAGTACTCTGCAATCTGTACCCATTTCTAGGTGCTCTGTTTGAAGAAGCAATCTTGAGGACTTATCTGTACTACAGTTATAGTGGTTAGATTTTAACTTCAGCTCCTCTGTCCTTTGATGAGAGAATCTTTATCATTTCAAATCAAGGGGAGGTGGAAGTGGAGTGGTCAGCCCCTACTAAGGGGCCAGGCTCTTTAATCTGCCCTGAAGGTCAAGACTAGAAGGCACACCAGATTGATAACCAAATATCAAACCAGACCTGGGGCTGGGAATGGTGGTACACCCCTGTAATTCCAGCAATTCCAGAGGCTGAGGTAAGAGGAGCGCAAGTTTGAGGCCAGCCTCAGCAATTTAGCAAGGCCCTAAGCAACTTAGATCTGTCTCAAAATAAAAAGGGCTGGGGATGTAGCTCCAAACAAAAAACAAACTTAGGGTGCTCTTCTTGGAATTCTAAACAGGAAAAACTCTCAGCCATCTTCCCCTTCTCTTCTTCCCTAGGTAAATGTGGAAAAAAAAAATCCAGAAGGCAATTGTCAACCACAATGTACCTTCCTGATGAAATACTTTGGAGTTACTAGAAATTATGCTCATGAAGAAAATATAAGAATATGCCAAAACACTTATGATGTATAGCTAAGTAATATACAGGATGCAAAATTGTTGATATGAATGAACAAAATTGTTGTATATTAACAGTTGTATATACATTTCTGTTGTTTTCTTTAAAATCCTGTGAATTAGAACTGAAAACAGAACTCAGTGGTAGAGCACTTTCCTAGTGTGCATGAGGGTCCTGGGTTTGATCCCCAGTATTGAAAAAAAAAATCTCATGAATTAAAAGGCAGAAGAGAAGTTCTCCCCAAATATTAAGGTTTAGGCCTGGTGCAATGGTGTATATCTGTCATCTCAGCAACTCCAGAGGCTAAAGGAGGAGGATTGCAAGTTCAAGTCCAGTCTTGGCGATTTATGAATACCCTGTCTCAAAATAAAGTTTTGTTTTTTAAGGCTGGAATACAGCTAGATGGTAGGGCACTTGCCTAGAATGTTCAAGGCCCTAGGTTCAATCTCAGTGTTCCCCCACCCACATACACACATACAAAAGATCAGGCTTAATATTATATTATTAAGTTGTTGGGAAATTTTTTTTCTTTTTGGTATGGAGAATTGAACCCCAGGGCGCTTTACCACTGAGTTACAACTCCAGTCCTTTTTATTTTTTATTTTGAGACAGGGCCTCAATCATTGCTAAGGCTGACCTCAAACTTGTGACCTAGCCCCAGTCTCCCAAGTCACTGGGATTACAGGTGTGTACCACCATACCTGGCATATTATTAGGTTTGATAGTATATTAAGATCTGGTAGCTGGACAATTGTTTTTTTTTTTTTTTTTTTTTTAGCTTTTTTCTTGTATTCTCTGAATTTTCCATTACTAAGCATATTTTTGTAATAATAATGTATTTTAAATGGTCCAAATCTGAGTTTACAAAATTTCCTTCCAAGCTGGGGTTGGGTGGGATGCAACCTACATGACATATGGTTTTGTGTGAAAAATGTTGGCAACCTCAAACTGTGACAAAAGCAGTGAATGAAGTTGGGAGGATCAGGATATGAGATGGTGGTTGTCTTCATTGATATCCCTCACACTGATCTTTTAAGAGAATTTAGTAGGGGAAAGGGCACACACAGAGCTCTGCCAGCTCCTTCAGCACCTTTGGATGGATTATAAAAAGGCACATGGCTTGGCTGGCATACCCCTGCTGCCTGCAGCCCCCCCACTGCCCTCCTCATTCAGGACCACCATGATCCTTGATAAGGGAGAAGGGGCATGTTAAATAGAGGACTGATGAATACTCTAAAAGGATAATTTCCCTAAAGAAAGTATTTCCAAGAATGATGATGTCAGAGGTAGTGGCCTCCAGCCCAAGGAAGTCCCAAAGAACCTCTTTCCTCTGGGTGTTGTAAACCTACCCCATGCAAGTACCCACATGCCTTTCCACACCCACACAAGCACATAATTCACTATGATGACAAGTACACATATGCACACTCAGTTACCCAAGTGCACACACATTTCCCCCAGACCTTGGAGGAACACAATTCTAATCTACAGCCCAAGTTTCCAGATCAGTAGAAGAGGAACAAATCTCTTAAACTAATGTTCCAATTTCATTTGCCTCCTGTTATAAAAGACATCAGTCATAAATTTTTTGGTATTAGAAATTGAACCCAGTTGCACTTTAACACTGAGTTACATCCCCAGCCCTTTTTATTTTTTATTTTGAGGTAAAGTCTTGCTAAGTTGTTTAGGGCCTTAATACATTGCTGAGACTGGCTTTGAACTTTTGATCCTCCTGTCTGAGCAACCCAAGTTGATGGGATTATAGGCCTGTACCACCACACCAGCTCATATCAACCACAGTTTTTGTTTGTTTGGTTTTTGGTACTGGGGATTGAACCCAGTGGTGCTCAACCACGGAGCCATATCCCCAGCCCTTTTTATTTTTTATTTTGAGACAAGATCTCGATAAATTGATTAGGGTCTTGCTAAATTGCTGAAGCTGGCTTTGAACTTGTAATCCTCCTGCCTCAGCCTCCCAAGCTGCTGGGTATGCACCACCATGCTGCACCCCAACCACAGTTCTTAAATGTGCTGGTACTTTTGCTTTCTGTCTTCTTCTTTTTTCTTTTTTGGTTCCAAGGATTGAACCAAGGAACAATTAACAACTTAACAACTGAGGCACTGTATTGGATCCCCAGCACCACACAAAAAAACTAAACAAACAAAATAAAGGTATTGTGTCCATCTACAACTTAAAAAGGAGTGGGGCTGGGATTGTGGCTCAGTGGTAGAGCTTTTGCCTAGCATGCATGAGGTACTAGGTTTGATACCCAGCACCACAAAAAAACTAAATAAACAACTTAACAACTGAGCTATATCCCCAGACCTTCAGAACTTTTAATTTTAAAGCAAATGTTTTTCTGGTACCAGGGTTTGAACCCCAGGGGTACTTAACCACTGAGCCACATCCCCAGCCCTTTTTAATATTTTATTTAGAGGCAGGTTCTTGCTGAGTTGCTTAAGGCCTCACTAAGTTGCTGAGGCTAGCTTTGAACTTGCAATTCTTCTGCTTCTGTCTCCCAAATTGCAGGGATTACAGGCTTGTGCCACAGTACACAGCTCTGTTTTCTTTCTTGATTAAAGACATCATTAATCACTAAGCTGGACTCTCCTTAAAAGCATTTTTTTTTTCAGTGCTAGGACTAGACCTGGGCATGGAACATGCTAGGAAAGTGGTCCTACTTCTGAACTAAAGCCCCAGACCCATATAAACATCAAAGAAGAACTAAGGATAGGGACAGACTCCATTGGCTTATGTGTGTTGTAAACCTACCCCATGCAAGTACCCACGTGCCTTTCCACACCCACACAAGCACATAATTCACTATGATGACAAGTACACATATGCACACTCAGTTACCCAAGTGCAGAGAGGACCCTCACCCCAACATGTGTTCTATTTTTAGCAGATTTGGGGGAGCTAGGATAACACACATAAGCCAATGCAGTGATTCTCAGTCTAGCTAATGGTGGCATTAGACTTTTAAAACCTGGGAAGCTTTTTAAAAAACATCAAATGCAGGTGGGGTTGTAGCTCAGCAGTAGAGCGTTCACCTAGCATGTGCGAGGCATTGGGTTCAATCCTTAGCACCACATGTAAATAAATAAAAAGATATTGTGTTCAACTACAACTAAAAAGTAAATATTAAAACAAAAAACAAAAACCACACAAACCACCAAATGCCTAGAACCCCTCTCATATCAATTTGCTTGGAATTGCTGGGGGTGGGCCCCAGGCTTGAATATTTTACATTTCCCCAGGCAATTCTATTATGCATCCAGTGTTAAGAACACATCCCCAGGGTTTTCCTTATCTGAGATTTGCAAGTACATTTCTGGCACAGACAGGCCAGCAGAGAGCCAGCTAGTCAGGTGGTGAGACCTAGAGCGTGGAAGAAGAGTTTTTACCTATTTTTCTCTGGCACTGCTGCTCCTAGTGTAGGCACCTGTTTGAATTAACTGACTTTAAGAATATTTAACACTGGAGGCTGGGGTTGTAGCTCAGTGGTGGAGCACTCACCTAGCCCGTGCAGGGTGCTGGGTTCTATCCTCAGCACCACATAAAAATAAATAAAAATATTGTGTCTAACTATAATTAAAAAAAAAAAAAAGTTCATACTGTAGCCAAGCTCAGTGACACATGCCTGTAATCCCAGCAGTTTGGGAGGCTGAGACAGGAGGATTGCCAGTTCAAAGCCAGCCTCAGCAAAAGCGAGGTGCTAAGCAACTCAATGAGACCCTGTCTCTAAATAAAATACAAAATAGGGCTGGGGATGTGGCTCAGTGGTTGAGTATCCCTGGGTTCAATGCCCCATACCGCCCCTCCACCACAAAAAAATAATTTAACGCTGAACAAATGAGCTATCAAGCCAGAAGAAAGAAAGTAAAAAGAGAATGGATGTGGATTTGAACTGGAAATTAGGAATGAAAGCCAGGGAGAAACACAGAGGAGAGCAGGACCAGATGGGCAAGGCCAGTCCCCAGCTCAACAACCTTTTCACTGGCAAAGGTGTGTCTACTGTCTTCTAGGAGAACCAGTGGGTGTGAGTGTGTGAGTGTGTGTGTGTGTCCCTGCCAGCCCTTGGCAAGGGGAGGACAGTTGCCAAAACACCTTGGATTAGCTTTTGTCATCTAAATCGCAAACTTCTATACTTTGGTGATCATTCCACCACCCAAAATGGGGAAAGTCTCTAGAGGCTCATAGGGGACCTGAGCAGCTTTATTCTGGGGAACAGAATCCCTGAGAAGGGCTGGGGATGTGGCTCAAGCGGTAGCGTGCTCGCCTGGCATGCATGCGGCCCGGGTTCGATCCTCAGCATCACATACAAACAAAGATGTTGTGTCTGCCGAGAACTAAAAAATAAATAAATAAAAAAGAATCCCTGAGAAGACTTTCCTGTGACCTATATGACTGATGCTAGAGCCTCGTTTTTTGAAATCTCTGAATAGTACCCTTCTGTGGGTTCACCCCACCCAGCTCCTGAAAAAATCGCCATTCCCTCTCCTAGTGAAGAAGCCTACTTTCAGTCTGGCTTTGCTCTAGGATTCATACAGTAGCCATGCGTTTTGAAGTTTTGAAAGTGGTATGTGGTCAAATAAAGGTTGGGTGGGGGGTTTGTTCTAGAGACTACGGAAGTACAGAGTAGGTGGCTTTGTTCTTCTTAGCACTGGGTGCTACCTGTGCTGCACTGTTCCAAGCTGGCTCCAGCTCTTATGGCAGACAGTGAAGATGAAATCTTACATCATTTAACAAACCTCTTAGAGGCCCAGCTGCTTTCCTAGTCTTCCATGGAGAAGTACTCCTATGCTTCATGGCTGCTCTGCAAACTTCCCTCTTCTGAAATAACTCCCACCAGCCCCCACAGTAGCTCAGGATCCAGCAGAGTGATTCATATCATGATCTAGAGAATGAAGGAAGAAGTTTCTCTACTCGGCTGAACTCATGCCTCACCTTTTTGGATCTTACTTTTCCCTTCTCCAAAAGGAGGGTCATTCATCTAGCATATTTTTTTTTGCTCTAAAGAAATTGTATGAGAAGGGAGATATTAATGTATATATGATTTGAACCTATTTCAGTGGATAACAGTTAAAAATGATGCATTGTGAGGCTGTGAATTTAGCTCTGTGGTGGAGGACTTGCCTAGCACGTGCAAGACCCTGGGTTGGATGCTTAGCACCAAAAGAAAAAAAAAAAAAAGGAGAAAAATAAAAAGTAAAGAAAAATAATTCATTGTAATTCTGAAAATAAAATCTGAGAACTAAAGATGAAAGGGCTAAAACAACGACCTTCAGAAAGGACTTTTCTGGGCTTCTGTTGGAGGTCATGGGGAAACTTGCAACATTCTCTAAGTTGCACACTTGAGAGAGACATGGCTCTCTGCCTCTCCTGTTTTCAGGAAGTCCGTTTTAGATCTCTGTCATTTTGACCACCCCATGGAAGAAGAAAAAAGTCACCAAAGTAAAGGAGCAGGTGGTCTGGAGAACTATAATAAACCTGGTTTCTGGCTTCTGGGCAAACTATAAGGTCAAACACAATATGTATTTGACTCAGTGTCTGATGTAAGAACACTATTTTTTTTAAAGATGGACACAATGTTTTTATTTATTTTTATGTGGCGCTGAGGATTGAACCCAGTGCTTCACATGTGCGAGGCAAGCACTCTACCACTGAGCTATAACCCCAGCCTCTAAGAACACTATTTTGAGGGAATTGAGGGTTAACATACCTTGACATAGGTGGTCCATGTAAACAAGCAGATTACTGCTTTCTTTATTCTCACTTCCACTAAGAACAGATGTTTGCAATTTGGAAACAGAGTATCTATTGGGTAGTAGCAAAGCCCAGTGGTTAAAAGCACAGCTTTTGGAGTCAGACTGCTTGGGTCCAAGTACTAGTTCGGCTACTTCTTACTAGCTATGTAACCCAGGACAAGTAATTAGATCTTTGCGTGCCTCAGTTTTCCCATCTGTGAAACCATAATACCCATCTTGAAGGCCCATCCATGAGGATTAAGAGGGCTAATATGTGTTGAGTGCACTGAAGTGCATACTAAGTTCTCTACAGGGGTAACTACAATCAGGATTACTACATACAAGGATGAGGAGCCACAACCACTGTTCTTCCTGGGGTTTAAAAGATAAATACAATACTCTGAGGGGCCATCAGACCTTATGTCCTTGAAAATTTAGGAAATATGGTCACTCTGCTGGAACACTCCAAACCCCACCAAAAGGCATATCCTACACACTCACAACAGAGTATTAGTTCTGGTAAAAAGCCCTTTTTAATAGACCTATGGAGTTTTAGGATTTCTCCCTGGGTGCGTACTTGTAAGCCAAAGCTGGGACAGACTGCTGCTGATAAATGTACTTGTAAAACATGCTAGTGTGCCCATGTTGGTGGTTTGGGTACACAGAACACTCCAGTTTCTGGAAATTTCCTGATTCTGAATTATTTGGAGAATGTGTCAGTACTTTGTTTTGGAGACTGAGCTCACATTTCAGTGTGTGTGTGTGTGTGTGTGTGTGTGTGTGTGTTACCCAACTAGGGTTTGAACCCAGGGCCTAACACATGCTAGGCACACACTCTATCACTGAGCTACATCCCCAGTGCATTTTGTGGGTATTAAAGCAATGTCAGCTGAGGCTGGGGGGGGGGGAATGTAGATCAGCACAGACATTTTGGGGGATGTTTTGGTACTAATATTTAAAATGTTCAGGCCTGTTTGATCCAGCTTTCCAACCTCCTGGGCCTTATTGCATTGAAACACTTACCTATGCAAAATTATGTTCGAGAATCATTGGAAATTAGAAACAACTGACCATCCATAGACAAATAATTAACCAAGTTGCAGTTCACCCAAACAATGGAAGACATGCCACCACTGCAAAAGAAGGGATCTGTAAGTACTGAGGAGTATTTCCAAGATAGATGACTAAAATATATATACATATATTTACACATATACATATAAATGTCATTATTTATAATGGCAAAATATGGTAACTAATAAAGATCTGCAGGGATCATGCCACCAGTCTGTTAGTGATAATCCTGGGGTAAGAGTGGAGATGAAATTGAGGGAACTTCTTTTTTTTTTTTTTTGATACTATGAAATGAACCCAGGGATGCTTTGCCATTGAGCTACATTCTCAGATGTTTTTATTTTTTATTTTGCGGCAGGGTCTGCTTAAGTTGCTTAAGGTCTCACCTTAAGCAACTTAAGTTGCTGAGGCTGGTCTTGAACTTGAGATCCTCCTGCATCAACCTCCCGAGTTACTGGAATTACAGGCATGCATTACCTTGCCTGGCTAAGACTCAGGCAACTTGGTGCCAAATCCCACCAAAAGGGGAAAACAATAATTTGCTTCTCTGTTCAACAAGATGGTTGTGAGCATCAGATAAGCTCTGGATAGGAAATGAATTTCCAAACTAAAGGAAACACAGACTAACTGATATTGCTACTTTGTATTCAAGGGGGGCCATGGAGGTTCACCAGGAGAAGGAGCACAAAAGCTGAGGCCTCAGGCAGCACAAACCTACTAAGTCACTATTGAAGAACTATGGGAGAGACAGGGATGATCTTTCCAATACCAAGTGAGCAAAGCCCCTCCCAGGGCCTGTATGAGGGTCTGCATTCCCTCTTCCCTTGCCAGCACATGTGCGCAGTACAGCCCTGAGCTGACCAGCAAAGAGGCAGCAGCGATTACTGTAAGAACCCCAAATTCCCAACCCCCAAGTGGAGATTCAATTCCAAGCAGAGTGGCGCATGAAGCCAGCGGTGCTCTGTATTTCAGGCAGCAGCTGCATGTGACTGCAGCAGGACAGAGGCTGCAGACCTGCTGTTGGAGAAGCTCTTGGAGGTTAAGGTTTTTGTTGGCGGGAGGGAGCTAGAGTTACAGATTTGGGAAGGAGACCATGGTCAGGGAAGAATGGCCAGCTTTCACAGCCCACCCTGGCACTCAGCTGCTGTTTCTTATTCTCCCCAGCTGAGAGTTTGGATTTCTGTAAAAATCCAAACTGCAGAAGCCTACCTGGTTTTGTACAGGTCAGATGGATCATTCCCAACTTATTCCTATGAATTGATCAACTCTCCCAGGTGGCAGCCATCCTTCACTGCGGCAAACTGCTAGAGAGTCACAAGCAGGTGGCAGGCGATGCTTCATACAGTCACCCTCTCAGACAGAGAACGGGACGGGTGGGTGGACCAAGAGTAGATCCACACACTTGCTTTCCTCTTTCTTTTTGCTGCCAAAGAAGAGGAACTGGGACAACACAGAGCAACTGAAGCCAAGCTGGGGCTGTAGGGGGGTGAGGAGGGATGGGGCTGGCTGCTTTTGATTGAAGGGAAGAAAAGAGTGGCTATGTGTAGTAATATGTATTTTCTATTTAAAAAATTTTTTTGTAGTTGTAGATGGACAGAATGCCTTTTTTTATTTGTTTATTTTTATGTGGTGCTGAGGATCGAATCCAGTGCCTCATGCATGCTAGGCAAGCGCTCTACTGCTGAGCTACAGCCCCAGCCCCAGCCTTGTAGTTTCTATTTTTTTTTTTATAGCAATTATAACCTTGGCTTGAAAGCACTTTCCAAAAACAAGCTGAAGGGACTTCAGGTAGAAAAGTTCTGCACCTGTCCCCTTGCTCAGAGTCATCACCTTCCTTACCTCCTTGCCCCTTCTGCTCTCCTCACCTTGAGTTGAGGCTCTTCCCCCAACCCTCACCTCTGGGCCCTTTACCTGGAATTCCTGTCCCCAGCTGTCTCTGGGGGTGCTTCTTCCCACCTTTACTCACTTATCAACTTCTCATCAAGGCCATCTGAGGATGACTTCCTATGATCTCAGCTCCCCTCTTCTCTGACTCCCTGCTTCCCATCTGCCTTCTTGAGGGCAGATGGCCTTACTGTATAGCATCTCTCACACCATTCAACCTTCTAATCATTTCACTGATCCTATTTGTTGTCTATCTCCTTCCACTGCAGTAACTGCAAGCTTCCTGAGGGTAAGGATTTGTCTGTTTTGGTCACTGCTGTGCTCTTGGTGTGTGGTGCAGCATCCGGCACATAATAGATAATCAACAGGTTGCTGTTGTTGTGATTTGCTTCCCCCGGCCCTAGTCCTTGGCACCTTGGCTTTATATGTGGATGGGTGAGCAGAGCCATAGTAAAGTAAAGGAATAAGAGAGAGATTAACATATGCAGCAGAGGAAAGACAGGAGGATATCAGGAAATGTGGAAAACTGTGTGGAGGTATGATAAGGAGCAAAGCAAGACTGCTGATTAAATAACTAAGGACTCGTAGAAGGGCAAATTTATTCCAAGAAGAAAGAAAAACAACGCAGAGAAGGGAAGATTTCTAGAATGTTCAGAAAGGCTAACCTGAACAAGCAGGCAATTCCTGGGCAGAAGCCTGGGGCTTGGCTAAGGCACTGCTTTAGGCCCATGCATGTCTCTTGTCACAGTGCATTCAGTTGTAGGTCAAGGGTATGGACAGGGGGTGAGGAATGAGGAGGAAGAGACCAGGAAGGGAAAGACGGGATAGGAAGAGAGACAGGTCAAGCAAAAGACCAAGTGGGTGCTACAGGGAGTGCAAGTGTCTAGCCACTGGATAAGGGAGGGGATGAAGGTGATGTCCAGGAGAAACTCAATGGTAGATGTGGAGAGAGGGCACCAGGAAGAAAGCAGCTTCTGAGGGAGAAGAGATGAGGGGAAGCAGGTGGAAAGACACGCCTCACAGGCTCCACTGTGCAGGGAAATTTCTTGCCATGTGTCCTGGGCCCTTGCAGTTCTATGCCTTTTAAAATTCATTTGTGTTTTCATTATCCTATTGTGTTCTTTCCCAAGGACTTCTCCCCTCTCTCTCTCTCTCTCTCTCTCTCTCTCTCTCTCACACACACACACACAAATTTGAAAGAATTGTTTAAAAACTTGGAAAATTTTAATAATTCAGTCATGTTTAGAAGGGTTTCACTAAGGAATCTTCTCAAATTTGGTAACAAAGTTAGAAAGTCACTCTCTTAAATTAATCAAAATCAATAAAGAACTGATGCTTTTAGCCTCTTGCCAAATAGTTCAAATTAAGAGACATTTTGTAAATAGAAACACAGGGACTAGGATGCTCTGAGAGGCTCTCAAGGTTTTTAGATTAGAGAATTTCTCAGTGTAATCAAAGTGATCAATTAGGGTATATCCTCAGAACTAGAATGAATTTGATGCATATAAATTATTAAGTTTGATCAATCACTGAGAATATGCATCTGGTTGTCTAAAGTGAGTTTTGTGGACGCTAAAGAAGTCTAAAAACCAAGCATTCTTAGGTGCATCTGGTTGGTCTAAAGGAGATCCTTCCCTGATGTGAAAACTACAATCCTGATCTTCAAGACATTCTTGATTTGGAGAATAGAAACTAATGCCACTCCACTAGCTAAATAGAAATATTCTTTAAATATTCCTAACTACCTGTTCTAATTCTTTGTTCACTAAGCTCACCGTGACCCATAACTGTATATAAGTTGGCCTCTTGAAAGAGTTGCTTACCAAGAAGGTTCTAAGCTAAGATCCTGGTGTGTAATCTGGCCAGAGAAAGAAATATCCTGTTGTTAACTGGCAAATGGGCAAGTTTATACATAAATCCTTTAGTCACTTGAGTTTTCAGAAATGGTATTTTGGTTTCCCTGGGTCTGGATACCCCAGAAGGCAGGGATAAAGTCCTGTGATAAAATTCCACTCCTACCCCTACAGAGCAGAGGACTGATTAAGGAACTCTGCATTAGCCTTGTCAAAGTGTGGACAATGGGGAGGGCTTATCTCAAGTGGCCAGGCAGTTTCTCCTTTTTGTCATCTCTTTTAACTTTAATTAAAATGCAGTGGCCAAAATGTATAAATAAATAGAGACCACAGTGCTACATCTGAAATCATTTCAATAAACCTGGCATCAGGCCACCAGTGTGTAACCCACTTGCCACTTGCATTTCACATCACTTCATTGTTTAAACACTCAAGCTTCCAAAGGAGCAGAGGATTGAATGCAGGACACCAGCTCTCTGAGATGCCATGGCCCCTTCCCCCTGATAATCAGGGCAACTCCTTGCAAACAGCAGCAGAGGGAATGAGAGGAAATGGCGCCAGTGGACAAACAGGGCTTACTCTTCTTCTCTGGAAGATTCAACCATTCAATCAGCGAATTTTCTTTCTGAGAAGCAAAGCCTGCTCAACTTTACAACTTTCCATCTCAATATCAGAAGACCATATTTAGACCTGTTGTTCCCAGCCAAGATAATTTCATTCCATTTTGCGTGTTTTAGACACTACTTCCTTTCCCTGGCTCCCAAGTCATCTCTTACTCAGATGCTTTTTTAGGAGCAAAACAATTAGCTCTGCATGCTCCTTGTTATCATAAGGAATAATAATCTCACCATTAAAGAATACCAAAATATGTGACCTATGGGTGGCCAACTCCTCCTCAAGGAGCAAGAGAATGGCCATTTAATCAAATTCCATCAGTCATGCTAGCATTATACTTCCATTTGGAGACATCTGTTTTTGAGGGGGGTTACTAGGAGCCTGGGGGTGCTTTACCACTAAGCTATGCCCCCAGTACTTTTTTTTTTTTTGTACTGTGCATTAAATCCAGGGTCACTTAACCAGTGAGACACATCTCTAGCCCTTTTATTTTTTAATTGGAGACAGGGTCTTGCTAAGTTGCTGAGGCTGGTTTTGAACTCATGATCTCCTGCCTCAGTCTCCCGAGCTACAGGGATTACAGGCATGTGCCACCATACCTGGCTCCCAGCCCTTTCAATTTTTTGAGACAGGGTCTTGCTAACTTGCTGAGGCTGGCCTTGAATCTGTGATTCTCCTGCCTTAGCCTCCTGAGTCACTGGGATTGTAGGCATGAGCCACCATGCCCAGCTAGGAGACATTATTCTTTAAGTTCTAAAGTACAGTGAAAAATGTGCAGATCAATGAGATTTGTAATATTTTTTCTTTTAATGGCACATGCTTCAGGCTGGGTGCAAGATGACTAACTAGATGCTTTAGGACAGTTAGCCTGAAGACCCAAGTAATCAGTGTCATCTCAAGGTCAGCCATATTGCTAGTGTCAAAGAGGCAGTAAGGCCACCTGCTGGAAAACTTAGGCATTGCTCTGGCTGCTTGCTCCTTGCTCCTTCCTGGCCTTGAGTCAGGTCTATGGCAAGACCATGATCTTTTTCTCCAGCTTCTGTGGTGGGAACAAGAAGTTTCTCATGATCTCATCCAGTTCCTCCAGGGCCAGCTGGGCATGGAGCTTGGCCACATCATCAGACTCCAAACGCACCACGTGCTTCAACAGGTGGTAGAGATCCTTGAGGACATCTCTCAGCACCTGTAAGAGACAGACAGGGTCATGACCATCTGTCTACTAGGAGGAAACCCATAGGCTCCCTTAAGAAGATAGTGAATAGCCCTCAGGTTGGAGAAGCAGGGAGGGGTGGCTGTGGCACTTGTCCTGAGATAGGTTTCCCTTGTATTTCTCTTTACCCCTGATGCCTCACTGCATAGCTTTGGGAACTGCTGTTCCTCTTTACTCCAGGACCAAGGATACATCCCAGACATATTCCTTTAGTCCCAAACCCTGGCAGATACCTCTGGACCACAGATGGGCAAGGCTGCCCACATACAATCACTCTCAAACCAACTGACTACTAGCATGTTCTTCTCAAGTCCCCAGAAAGTCTCTTGCCAACATCCACGCAGGTATTTACCTTATGAAACTCAGGAGGCTACTTCTTCAGCAATTATGCCTTTATTGCCCCTACTTTTATAATTTTTCACTGCAGTTCCATTTCCATATTTTCCCCCCATATATGTGTGTGTGTATGTGTGTCTGTATATGTACATACATTTCAATTGCCACTCTGTGAAGGGAAACAAGAGGACTGCATGGATAGACCCACACCCATTTTTCACTACCAATGTTTTGATCTCATGGTCTGATATGGAATTTGGGAGGGTTCTAAAAGCACCTGCCCCCAGTACTTACTATTTTCCTACAAAATCTTCTCAGTTTCTCACTTGGGAGTGAGAACTACTGGCAAGAAGCAGGTTTCAAAGAAATAGGGAAACTCAGAGTAAGGGGGATTTAGGGACCATCTGATCAAACTTGGGACAGAAGACAATAGGTCACAAGGAGTCATTTAACTTGCCTGAAGCTATGTGCGGAGTTACTTCTGGTCTAGGGCTTATTGCCTCAAAACTTACTATTTTTTGGGCTAAGAACTATATTAGATACTTTCTATATATTTTCTAATTTTATGCAGGTTAACTCAGGGAAAAACCTGGTAGGGGGTTGGGGATGTAGCTCAGTGGTAGGGGTGCTTGCCTAGCATGTGTGAATCTCTGGGTTCAATCCTCAATGCCCCCTTAAATCAAATTAAACAAAAAACTAGTAAAATCAGGTTTCTAATTCCAGAGTCTGTGTTCTTATTTTATATTTTTATTGAAAAGCTAATACAGTACAAAAAACACACATAAAAAATAAAAATAAATAAAAAACCCCACACACCTACACGTTAAAAAATCAGGTGTGATGGCACATGCCTGTAATACCAGTGGCTCAGGAGACTGAGACAGGAGGATTGAGAGTTCAAAAACAGCCTCAGCAATGGTGAGGCGTCAAGCCACTCGGTGATTTCCTGTCTCTAAATAAAATACAAAATAGGACTGGGGATATGGCTTAGGGGTCGAGTGCCCCAGAATTCAATCCCTAGTAGCCAGAAAAAAAAAAAAATCTGGCTCTTGGGGATAGGGTTGTAGCATAGTGGTAGAGCACTTGCCTAGCATGTGTGAGGCACTAGGTTCGATTCTCAGCACCGCATATAAATAAATAAAATAAAGGTCCATTGACAACTTAAAAACAAACAAAATTCAGACTCTTGCTGGGTGCAGCGACACATGCCTATAATCCCAGTGACTCTGGAGGTTGAGGCCGGAGGATGGCAAGTTTGAGGCCAAACTCAGCAACTTAGTGAGGTCCTAAGCAACTTAGTGAGACCCTGTCTCTAAATAAAAAAATAATAATTAAAAAAAATGGCTAGGAATATAGCTCAGTGGTAAGGTGTCCCAAGGTTCAATCTCTGGTATCAAAATAAATATTAAATAAATATATACATAACTAAATATATATATTTTACAAATTTTATATATATATATATTTTATTCAAGATTCCTGAGAGTACACAACCTCCTCTCCACCCAATGCTGGGGATCAAACTCAGGGTCTTTTGCATACTAAGCACATGCTCTAGTACTAACCTACACCCTCAGTGTCCCCTTTTGTACCTTTTTAATATTGTTTTTTATGAGATATTACCTATTAAAAATGATTAGGTGCTGGCTGTGGTGGCACACTTTTTTTTTTTTTTTTGGTACTGGGAATTGAATTCAGGAGTACTCAACCACTGAGCCACATCCCCAGCCCTATTTTGTATTTTATTTAGAGACAAGGTCTCACTGAGTTGCTTGGAGCCTCGAAGTTGCTGAGGCTAGCTTTGAACTCGCAGTCCTCCGGTCTCAGCTTCCTGGGCCACTGGGATTACAGGCATGTGCCACCATGCCCAGCCTGGCACATTTTTAATGATAGCTACTCGGAAGGGCAAGAGAATTGTAAATTCAAGAACAGGGCTGGGAATGTGGCTCAAGCGGTAGCGCACTCGCCTGGCATGCGTGCGGCCCGCGTTCGATCCTCAGCACCACATACAAAGATGTTGTGCCCACCGATAACTAAAAAATAAAAAATATTAAAAATTCTCTCTCTCTACCTCTCTCTCTTTAAAAAAAAAAAAAAAAAAAAACAGCCTCAGCAACTTACTAAGACCCTGACTCAAAATAAAAAAATAAAGATGACTACGGAAGTAACTCAATAGTAAAGTGTTCTAGGTTCAATCTTTAGTACCAAAAAATAAAAATAAGTAAATAAATAGGCATACATTTAAGTGAATTAACTATTAGGTAAAGACTGTTAAGTCCATTTAACAGAATAGAACCTATTCTTAAAAGGCTTACCATCAGGAAAGGCAGGAAAGAGAAGACAATGTGCACACAAAGAATTTAGAACTGAACATGGTAAAGGTCCTAAGACAGCAGAGAAAGTGATTAGAGTTCAGAGGAAAGGGAAGGCACATTTTAGGAACAGTTAATGAACTGGAAATGGCAAGTATAAATGATGAGAAATGAATTTGATGAGTGACAAGCATGTGGTCTGGACCCAAGGTCCGCAGGGCATTTCACATAAGCATACTAAGTGTGTGGCACCACATCTTGGACTTGCTATAGGAATATACAGCAAGCCTTCCTATCTTTTGAGGACCTTTGTGGTGTGGTTATTGGGGAAGGGGAGGAAAGCAGGTGATAAGGCTACCCAGGACTTGCCTTTGCCATAGCTGGTTTCCCTCTGGCTGCCTGTGACCAGCTGTGTGGACCTTCTTAATTTCCTTTCCTGAGCGAAGCTCCTTCCTAGGTCAAAGCCCTTGCATATGCTATTACCTACTGGAAGACTTGTGCTTCCTCTTCACCTACAACTCTTCCACCCTCTGCCTAAATTCCCATTGAGTCCTCAGGGATTCCTTCCCTAGCCCTACCTGCTAAGCCCTTCTTAAGCCTTCTTCCTGTGGTTCTGTTTGTAGCCCCTATCACAATCATGATTTAAGTATTTATTGGGTGATTTTATTTATTTATTTGTGCTGGGGATTAAATATTATATAATTTTAAAACTTTCTCCTTATAAATCATAGGTACTATTGACACTGAGGCCAGATCTTGCCTTTTTCACTCTGGTATAGCCAAAGTGCCTCATATCTGCACATGGCAGATGTCATAAAATACTCATGAATGAAGGAAGGCATGTATGCCATTCCTGGCCAGTCTCTGACTTTGTAAAAGCCCAAATTCTAAGAATATCTACTGAACAATGCCAGACAACTGGGGCTGGCTTCATGAGTATGTGACCTGTGAAGTTACACTAGATTCTATGGTAAGGGGCCCCATGCTGCTTGGTTTAATGATATACTGTTGCAATCTTGAAGTTCTTAATAATTTTGTCTTTGAACTTTTGTTTTGTAAGTGAAGTTCAATGGACAATGAAGCATGAATGTGAGCAGAGATTGTGCTATTTGCATGTCAGTGCATTTGCCTATATGTCACTGTGCCCTATAAGCACAGAATTCACTCACATGTGGGACAAGACTCAAGCCTGTTATATATTTACAATTAAGCAAATAGAGGCGCTGACAGCCTGGAGAGGCCATACTTTCCATTCCAACTAGAACTTGCTTCTAACACAGAAAGACGGCAACAGCTTTCTAAGAAACATGGATGACCAAGGAACCCTATCAATCCTTTTTTACTCATTTATTGCCATATTGAAGCCAAACATTTAAACCAAAAAAGATGACACAGAGGCTGGGGATAAAGCTCAGTCGGTAGAGTGCTTGCCTTGCATGAATACAACCCTGGGTTCAATCCCCAGAAACACCAAAAACAAAACAAAAAAAACCCAAGAACAGATGGAAGAAGGACACCTAGAGTGTTTTTTTTTTTTTTTTTTTGTATTGAACGCAGGGATGTTCTACTACTGAGCTAGATCCCCAGCCCTTTTTATTATTTATTTTGAAGACAGGGTCTTACCAAGTTGCTGAAGCTGGCCTGAAACTTGGTATCCTATTCCTCAGCTTCCTGAGTAGCTAGAATTATAGGTGTGTGCCGGTGTGCTGGGCTCTTTCATTTCTTGTTATCATTAAAGCAAAGATAGTGTTGGTAGCAGGTGCATGTATCATACAAATTCTGTAATTTTGGTGATTCTGCGTACAAGTTAAATGTTCTTATATTTGCATTTAAAATTGGCATCTCATAAAATAAAGATGAGCAGTAAAACTGATGCTGGTAATTTCACATTTTAGTTTCTCTCTACTTAGAATAACATTAATAGCAAATAATAAGAACATGACAAGTTGAGAGGGAAACTGTGGAAAAAGGAAAAAACTTCATATTTTATTACATTAAAGGAATTTTTTTCTTTTTCTTTTAACATTTGATTTTGCACTGGGCTGCACAGATTATAGTCAGCCCTGCAGACCACTCTCAATGAATGTTCCTTGTCCAATGTCACCATGTTAAGAGCCTCAGTCCTAGGAGCCAATCTCACAAAGATGCTGCCAGATGCTTGCAGACTAATTATCTCAGACTTTTTCAGAGAGCTGCAGAGACAGAATGGGAGTTAGGTCTCCTGGCCCAAACTAGGACACTTTCCTGCCTGGCCTTTCATAACCTATCTTTGGGGTGAGAAAGTTTTTTCCTCCAGGCAGAGAGTGAAAATGAGATGATTCCAGG